TCAAGACAGGAGACCTTCCGCCTTCTTTTTTTTTTTTTTCTTGTGCCGGTGTGTGAGAGAGAGAGAGAGAGAGAGAGGGGTTCTATGCCCGGACCGCAATGTGAACCCGCCAACGGGGTTGGAATGACCAAATATGGAGTATCGGCATGCAGTCACGTTTTCATTTAGAATTCTGCCGGCCTTCGCTTTCCGTCATTTTTTACTTTTTATTCTTTGCGTTTTTTTTCTTTTTTGCTATCCTGCTTTTGCACATCTTGTGCAGACAACAATGTCACCCATCTGGTGCCGCTTGATATGGGGGGATGAAGTGGTGGTGGAGGGGTCACATCGACCAGTCGTGACGCAATGGAGGTGACACCGTCTCGCAGCAGCTCTGGATAATACACCTGCTAGCAGCAATCATTGAGAATTTTTTTTCTTTCTTTCATCTGTCTGTCAGTCAGTGTGCGTGTGTGTATGTGTGGGCGTGAGCCTATTTGTCGAGGTTACCCATTTTTTTCACTGTGTTAGTACATGTATACCATTCTCTTTGGTGATGCCTGCTATGATCCTTTCTCTGGTTTTTCTTTTCTTCAAACACGACCCGGTCGGTTTTTTTTTTTTCGCTTCTGCTGCAAACCTGAAAACAACGACAAGAAGGCTGGAGAAAGCCCTCCGTTAGAAGCAATGCGAGCTCAGCAGGTTTCTGGAAGGGCTCTGCAAATGCATTTGGGGCTCCGATGCATCTCATCATTGCCATTTCCGTTACCACCACCGCCGCCGACGACGACAGTGCGGTCGAAGGGGTACGGACCTACGAAGGACCTTCTAAAAGGGGTAGACACATCAAAACGAGTTGTTGTTGAAACGGAGTTGCATCCGGCGGATGCAGAGATGCAGCAACTTGTCCTTTCTCTCTTGGGTGCTGACGTAAGCGTCCACAATTCGCTTGGCGGCGAGGTAGACGCTGCAGACAGCAGAACGGTTTCGCAGCAGGAGGGCATTGTTGCAATCTCACCGGAGCAGTTGGCTTCGGTGGCCACAGTGATTGTAGACCAGGTAAAGGAGCAGCTGGAGCTGAGCGGCTATGCTGCCGAGGCGTCTCAAGACGGCCGCTCGAGCAGCGTTGTAAACGCGGTTGCAGACTGTCTGCGTCAGGAGATGCAGCGTCTTTGCATCGCAATGCAAACACAAGAAGTCTCACTTTCTCGTATGTTGGGGGAAAATTCAGATGTCATTTGTGCAAGAATTGCCAGTGTGATTCAAGCGGAGCGTTCATCAGCCGCGGCAAGGAATGAGGGAGAGACCCGGCAGCTTTTCCACCTCACACAGGAGTTCACATCCGCCGTGGCAAAGTTGGAAATTTCATTGAAAGCGACGCTGGAGGAGGGTCTTGCAGCGAACAATAAGAACATGGACCCTGTTTTTGAAGATATGCGCATGCGTGTCGTCGAGGCCATTGAACAGGCATCACGTGTGCAACAGGAGCAGCTTGCTATATCTCTTCAAGATGTGTTGGAGAGGAATAATGTTCCATCCTCATCTGCGCCACAAGACCCAGTTAGTCTTGATGCAGTTCAGGATATTGTGAGGAATGCCATAACAGAAGTCGTTGAGAGAGCACAACACGAGGTACGAACATTGTTGGAAGGGCTAAGAGAAAATGCTCAAGCGCCTGCACCTTCCCCTGACGATGGTTCTAGCGTTAAGGGGTCGGATCTGGAGGGGTTCTTGGTATCATATGGTGAGCGACTTGAGGAACTGCGTGAGTTGACAGCGGGGTTTACCGACATCAAGGAGCTGCTGATGGAGGTTCACAGTCTGCAGCAGACACACGAGACTGCCATTCAGGAGGTGCAGAACAGCATAAAGCGACTAAGAAAGGAATTGTTGGACGCTCTTCGCGGTACGACTCCGTCTGCCTCTGTTGAAGCGAAGGCTGAGAAGAAAGAAGATCTTTTTGCAGAATACTGCGACAGACTTGCTGATCTGGCTGACCGGGTGACATCGACGGTTGAGCAGCAGCTGAAGGAGCAATCGTTGGATGTGAAAGAACTACTGACTCAATTACGTGCGCTGGAGAAAAGGTTTGGAGAAAAACAAAAACCTGCCTTAGATCCTATGCCTGCCATACATGACCTTGATGATGATCGCATGGTTGCCCTGGCGCAAAGTATTAGCGATAGCATTCTTGCCTCCTTACCTCCGTCTGAATCCCCGCAGACACAGGCCCCATCTTTCACAAGGGAAAGTCTTGTGGAGGCCGTGGCGGCCGTCCTCAGCCCAAAGTTGGAGGAGCTGGCCGCAGCGGTGGCGAGGATGGAAACGACTCGGCCCGTGAAGTTCACCGTGGCTCCTGTGGAGGAAGGCTTAAAGGGGGTGGGTGAAGAGCAATTCATCACGCTGGCACAGACCATTGCCGAAAGTGTGAAGGATGCCGTGCAGGAAGTGGTTCCCACCAAAGAGTTGGCTGAGTCAATGACTTCAAAGGAGACACACTTGGCTCTCATGACACGTCTGGAAGCTTTAAAAGAGGACATCGTGTCCACTGTACAGGAGGAGATGGGGCGCACGCAGGAGATCGATCTAACACCTTTCCAGACCTATCTTGATCAAGTCCTTGGCGGCGTGCAAGAAGCATCTAGCAAACAGCAGGAAGTAACGCAAGGTAAAGTTGGGGATGCGTTGGAAACTCTACTTGGACAATTGCAACAGCAGCAACAAGTATTGCTTGAGGCGCTACAGGCTCAACAGCGGTCAAGCGACGAGGCAGTGACACCCCTGGCAATTACAGATGGGCTTGAAACGCTCAACAGACGCCTCCTGAAGGAGATCAAAGACATCGTTTCCAGCGACGCTAGTTCCTTGCGTTCAACGCTTGAAGCAGTGCAGCAGGAGGCTCGTGACACAGTTGGCCGCTTGCCGGAAGGTCTGGAGGAAAAATTATCTTTGATGGAAAACACCATACATGAAGTTCATAAATCAGGAGAATCTCATACTGCCAGCTTGCAAGCCGCCTTGAAGGATGTCAAGACGTACGTTGAAAACATTAAAGAAGAACACGATGCAGCTGGGCCGATTCTTACTTCCATTAATACAGCGGTGTTTGACTTGGCACAAACAAGCATTGCGTCTGCCAATGAAATCAAAGCTCAATTAAGTGCTTCGGAGAATAAGGCTGAAACTCTGCATACTCAGATGACCTCAGATCTTTCGCAGCGCTTTGGGCAGCTTATAACGGAGGTGCAGGATGGAAAACGGCGGATTGACGAGCTTGTGTCCTCTAACGAGGAATACAAAGGCGTGGTGACGTCAGTGGAGGCAATGCGGTTGAAACTAGAGGAGGTGGGCCTATCGCTAGAGATGATGAAAACTCCACTGTTTACATCGCCGCCATTGGAACAACAACCTCCAGAGCAAATTGTGAGGGGAGACGCCATTGAGACACGACTTGACAACCTTTCCGAGGTAACACAGGAGATTCTTTCGGAGCTTCAGAAGTATCGTTCCCCCCAGGAAACGCCGGCTCCTGCGGATGCGATTTTTAACAAGGAAAACTTAGAGGCAATGGAGGCTCGGCTAAATGAGCGACTGCAGGTGCTTTCCAGCAAACTTGAGGAAATGATGCAACTGGATTCTGCTGTGGTGCCTTCCCTAGAAGAAGCGTCTCCGCAGCAGTCTTCAGTGCCAAACAATGTCGAGCAATACATAAAGGACATAGACGCTCTTCTTAATCATTTGCAGTCGTCTCGAAGCGCACAAGTGAAACAAATGCGGGAGAAGTTGATCACACTTCGATCATTTCTTGTTACAGGGAGCTTGGTTGAAGGGGGAGTGAGCAACGTAAAGGTATTTCTCGAGGCGCTGGAAAAGAATAGACTGAGGCTTAGAGAAGACGCGGCTGGTGCGGAAGCGGCATTGGTGACCGAGGTGAATGGTGCAGTCCAGCAGACTCTAGAGCGTCTTTTATCATCGATTGAGCAGACCCTTGCCAACTCCACAAAGCAGCAGCTACAGCAGCTTCAAATTGACCTCAATGAAAAGAGTGAAACGCTCGGGACGCAGCAACAGTACATGGCCTTCCAGCTACAGGATAGATTAAATAACTTGACAAATTTGCAGGAGGGTCATACTGTGGCGCTGACCAATGAGATTCGGAATGAACGGGAGGAGTGGCGTGGTATGCTTAACCGGGCCATACAGCAGGAAATGCCAGCAGCTCTTCAAGGCGTCATTGCTGAGGTTTGCACGGAGCAGCTGCGTTCCGTGCGAAATCAGTTGGATGAGCAGGAGACCCGGGAGGGAAAGAGCGCCGAGGCATTACTCTCGAGCGTAAGAGAAGTTTCTAAGGAAGTCTCCCAATTGGGTGGTATCGGTTCAGAAATGCGAGCAGTCGTGGGCCAGGGTTCGGCAACTATTATAGAAGAGCTGCGGCACACACAGGATCGGCTTGCGGAACGCTTTGAACGACAGGTGTCAACAATCATGCAGCAACGATCCGCCGAGGTGGTCTCATCTATTGGCACAAATACTCCTTTTGCCACTCCCGTTGTACCATCGCCGACATCGCTCTCGTTGTGGTGGCTGTGTGTGTTGTCATTTGTTGTTTTTGGCACCATTATGGCATGCGGCTACTTTATCTTTGCCGCGTTTCTGGTCGCCTTTGTCCCTGTGCCACCGCCGGAACAACTGCTCGCAAACGCCGCCACCGCGCAGCCTTTGAGTCCGGGGAATGCGGTGGAGACTCCCAAGAAATTGCTATCCTCTCGTGTGGTGGATCAGGTGATGGAGTAACCACCGCTTTTCATAGATCCTTCTTTCTATTTCTTGCAGTGTATGCATGATTTGCCTTTTTTTCAAACGTTGCACCTGACACCTGCATGCTTGCTTCTTGCTGGAGGCGCGTAACAAAATGTGGGCTATTCGTTGGTGCAAGGTCTCTTGTGGAGTAAACCAAACCCTCAAATGCAGTTTTTTTTTTGCTTGTCTTTATCTCTCTTGCACACTTGCCCTTGTACTTGCTGGATCTGGCGCAACACGAACCAAACAAACAAACGAAAAGGAAGAGGGAAGTATTTATTTTTTTTTGCCCACGGCCGTGCCTCAGTGTTCGGGGGAATAAAAAGCGAGGGGGAAGAGCACTGAGCCTCAGCGACTAGGTAGGGCGGATACGCGTCTTCCAACCTGTTGTGAAGTGGTTTTTTTTTTTTTTAGTAATCCAATCTGCTTCATCGACCTCTTGGAGGGAGGAGGGGACACGCGGAGTCGGACTCTTTGACAGACGGAGAGACCGTAGTAACGTCTTTGCTCGCCACACGCTGAAGGCAGCGGGAGGGACGAGGGTCATATATATAATATATATAATATATATAATATATATACTCGTATAAGTATACATGGTCGACACCCCACCGCCGCGACCAGTTCGGAGCCAATCCTCCTCACGAGGCGTGGCGGTGGCTGCATCGCAGAGAAATAGGCCGAAGAATGCGCCGTTCAAGTTCCTACGCAAAGATGAGGGACGACTGTCGTACACGTGTCAGCCAGACTCACCAGTCTCAGGGAACAACCACGGCAATCAAGCTATCAGCAGCAGCAATAACTGCGTCAGCCGTGACAGCCCGCCAAGCGAACGACGGGGATCTCGATCACTGCGTGAAGCCATCGCTAATGATATGCGCAAGGGAAAGAACCACGACCCTTTTGCAGCAGTTGTCATCGCTGTACCAAAGCGTACTCCGCCACCTAATCTTGCTGCGCGTGATGAAGCGCAAGACTCTCTCGACCCTCCAATTCTTCAGGAGCGTAGGGCGGCTCAGCCTCAAGTTCAGTGGCAGCAGCAACAACAAGCGGCCGCGAGGAAACTTGAGTTGGAAATAGAGAATGAGGTTTTGGAACCAAATGGTGACTTGGGGATCACAGCAAAGCCGCGGCAACATCCACGTAGCTCCGAGGATCCGGACAGACCATCAGAAGGACTAGGGCAACGGTTCAGCTCTAACATGAGCCTCCCCACGCCGCGACGGGGAGATGAGTATGAAGATGTGGAACGGCAGCGTCCACCTCAGCGACGATATCGAGGCGAGGACATGGTGCTGGGTAACGGGGTTTCGCGTCAATCCTCTGTGCATCGTTATTTGGATTTTGTAGGCCAAGAAGATGACTACCCGCGAAGTAGTCGAAATTTTTTCTCGCGCCCACAACGCCAGGTCTATCGTTCCACCCGCGAAGAAGAAAATTTAGTAGAACAGCTTGAAGAAGAGCTACGGGCAGCTCAAGAAGAGCGAGGGCGATACCAGCAGCTTAGATTGCAGTTAGAACGCGATAGAAAACGTTTTGAAGACTATTGCATTGTAGTCGAGAAGGAAATTGAGGACGAGCGCGCGGAGCTGGACGCCGCACGAGCATCGGACAAGTGGCAAGCCAGGAAGGATGCCAAGGTGGTGGAGGAACGGTACAAATCTACACTAGGGCTCCTGAAGACGGAAAGGGAGTCAAACAAAAAGCTAACACAGGAGAATGAACTGCTTCGGCAACAGCTGGAAGGAATGACAACCCACATGCGGGAAGCGCAGAAGCTGCAGAAGGCAGAGACCAGTCGTTTGCGGCGTGAGATCGAGTCCTTGACACGACGCAACGAAGAATTGCTAGAAATGACACGAGAACAACAAATTGCCGCGCTCGAGAACAGCTCTAAAGTCGCGGTGTCGGTGCCACCCTTGCAGATTGCGCCAAATGCTTGGCGCCATGTACCCAGCGGCACTTCTAGTACTGGGGGAAATAGTGAAGAAAACCACGACTTCCTGGAAGCTCACTCGACAGTTGGCAACAGTATAGAAAAAAAAAAACGTCACCGCCTGGGGAAGGAAGCAAAGACGCCTAAATGACGAAAATGAGCGCAAACGCCTCGAGACTGAAGAGGAGGAGAAGGAGCGCAAACGCCTCGAGGCTGAGGAGAAGGAAAAGAGCGCAAACGCCTCGAGGCTGAGGCTGAGGAGAAGGAAAAGAGCGCAAACGCCTCGAGGCCGAGAAGAAGGAGAAGGAGCGCAAACGCCTCGAGGCTGAGGAGAAGGAGAGGGAGCGCAAACGCCTTGAGGCTGAGGAGAAGGAGAAGGAGCGCAAACGTCTCGAGGCTGAGAGGAAGGAGAGGGAACGCAAACGCCTCGAGGCTGAGAAGAAGGAGAGGGAGCGCAAACGCCTCGAGGCTGAAGAGAAGGAGAGGGAGCGCAAACGCCTCGAGGCTGAAGAGAAGGAGAGGGATCGCAAACGCCTCGAGGCTGAAGAGAAGAGGGAGCGCAAACGCCTCGAGGCTGAAGAGGAGAAGACGTTTAAGCGGCTTGGGGCTGAGGGGAAGCAACAGCGAAGGCAGCAGCAACAAGCACAAGGGGAAGGGGCGGTGATGGATGACAAATCGCGGGAGTTACGCGGCCAACGACTGGTTTCTGGTCACCCCGTCAATACCCCTCGCGTGCCGAACGCCAAATCTCAAGTCACTGCGGCACTGCGGATGACGTCACTATCGAGTTCCACGGTCTCTGTTTCACGCAAACCACGTCGGACACCAACGGCAGAGGAACTTACGGCGGAGGATGAACCGGCACCTGCTGAGGATTTTCCGAATGACGCCGTTGTGTCACAGACGGCTTTGGGAGAAAATCCCAACAAGCGAGAAGTGTTATACCGTAGTGGTAAGCGGGAGATTCACTATGCGAATGGTACACGGAAGTTGATCCTTCCCTCTGGTCATGTGGTTCTCTACTTCACAAACGGGGACGTTAAGCGTACGTTTCCGTCGGGGAAGAGCACTTATTGGTACGCCGCCGCACAAACGACGCACACACAACATGCTGACGGTGTGCAGGTATTTCAGTTTCATTCCTCTGGCCAGATTGAACGACATTTGCCAGATGGTAAGAAGGAGATTCTTTATCCTGACGGTATCTATAAAGTTGTTTTTCCTGACGGACGTGATGAGACGATATTTCCCGACGAAATGTGATTCCTCATGTCAAAGCCGTGACATTCCTTGTCTGCCTATTTGTTTTTCTTTGGGCATCTTCGGTCTAACTCCTTTTTTTTCGTCTGTGCGTGTGTGTGAGTTTCTGTGTTCTTGTATGGTCATGGCTAGCGTTGTTTTGGTGCGACGCGGCAACGGTGGTAGGTGACACATCGTTTTGTAAGAAGCACGTTTTATCAACAGGCCACCGTCAGACGCCATTGGCAGTGCAGCTGCAGCTTCCGCCAGGAGGTCGTAGTGGTGTGTATGTGTGTGCGAGTCAGTTGGTGTGGTCAAGTGTTTCCAAAACCAAAAAAAATAATAATATCTATTTTTGTATGTTCCTTCCGTCTCCTGTACTTTTCATTTTTTTTCTTTTTTTGTGTTTGTGTTGTTTGATTGTGTGACTGTTTTCCGCTTGTTTGCGGCGTTTTACTCTCTTCTTCTGTTTGTTTATTCGTTGTGCTCACCTCTACCGCCACTTGGAAGTGGCACCGAGTGACTGGGTGGGGAACGCGAAAAGGAAAGGAGTAGAGAGAAGTGAGAGATGTGGCCGGTGAAAGGGGACAAAAGCAAATATATATATATATATATATATATATATAACTTATACAATAAAATATGAGCAGAAGAGAGAAGAACGAGATGAATAGAGTTGAACGTACAGAAGCAACGTGGTAAATGGAGTCAGCTGAAGAATGGAAAGGTAGAATGTGTGAGAGAAAGAGATATATGCCTGTGTCTGTGGGGAGAGGGGGTGTGTGGGAAGTAAACTAACAGCAGCAGCAAGAAGATGATGACGTGCTTTCTCACTGGATATAGCTTTTCGTTTTATTTATATACACACATACGACTGTGGGCATGTGTATGCGCGGATGAGATGCTACGCACCCTTTACTAAATGAATCAACACCGTTCACGAGAATGTGAATGAGTGTGGCATAAGTGCGCGCTTTGCCAGCATGAGGGGGATGGCTGCAAGAATATATTTGTTTTTTTTTTTGTTCTTGGTCGTTGTTTCTGTGTTAGAGATGGCTCTGTCTCCTTCCCCATGCGTCGAAAAACATGTATGAGTGTACGTACGCGTAGTCATACATATATCTGTTAGGCATGCACTTTTCGTTACCTTCACGTGTGTGTGTGTGTTGTGTGCGTCTGGCTGCATGTGCAGGGTGCTGCTACTGCGGTTGTATCGGCTGCTAACACCTTTTTGTTCCTATATCTATATACTTTCATGTATTGATGATTCCGCCCATCTTGCCTATGCAGTGTTTTCCCCGCATCCAATTATGTTTGGTGTTTTCTTGGACGCATTCTCTCCCTTTCTGACTGGGCGTCTCTGTGAAGACGTGAATGTGTCCTCACCAACGCATTACTCGTATTTGCCTGCATTTCACTTCTCTCTCTCTCTCATTTGCACATGCTTATATGGGGCGTTTGGCCTTATTTTGTATTGCTTGGTGCCATTAATAATGGCTTGCGTTGGCGTGTTAGTGTTTCCTGTGGACTCGCTTGGCACGTCTGTATATTTGCTTTTTTTTTCTGCACACACATCTGCTTTTTTTTTTTTTCCCTCTCTCGCTTGGGTTGGGCCTCCTGTAAAGGTTGTTTTTTTTTGTAGAAACAAGCGTAAAACCACAACATAAGCCAAACAACTAAAGCAACATTAAACGAATTGCGAACAGTACACAATTATGGTGGAGGTACCGCGCAGCTTTCGCTTGCTGGAGGAGCTTGAGGCAGGCGAGAAGGGAACGGGGTCGAATCAGAACGTGTCCGTCGGTATTAGCGGCACAGATGACATTTATCTCCATTACTGGAACGGGACCATTGTTGGGCCAGCCGGCACCACATTTGAGAATCGCATTCTTTCCCTAGCAATCTACTGCGATGAGAACTACCCAAACAAACCGCCGCACATCAAATTCGTTAGCCGTGTGAATCTGCCATGTGTGAATCCCGACGGCACGGTTGACAGCACAAGATTCCACATCTTCAAGAACTGGGAGCGTCGCTACACGATGGAAAAATGCCTTGCCGAGCTGCGGCGGGAGATGGCGCAGCCGGCAAACAAGAAACTCCCGCAGCCGGAGGAGGGCTCAAGGTACTAAGAGCAGACGGTATGAAACCAAAAACAGGGAAAACGAGGAAGAAGGGAGGGAATGTCTGAGAAAACCGCAGCAGCAGGAGGATGAATACCACAAACACCCGGGATTATGGGAGCCTTGAAGGGGTGATTGCGGGCACAAAAGCTCATAAAGTTTGGGCCCGAAACAAAAAAAAGAAAACAGGCGAGGAGAGTGTACGTGTTGGGAATGCGTGAAGAAGACAAGGGGTCAGAATGGACGCTGCGAGACCGACGAGAACGACCGCTTAAGGAAGGTGCGAAGTAGTAGGAGGAAACAACGAATACAAGCATATATATATATATATATATGAGACGACGAAGAAAATATGTGGTGGAGGAAGTGCCAAAAACAACGCAAGCAATACGAAGGGGCCTTTCACCTCTTTCCCCTCTCTGTCGCCCATCAATACTGTCACTGCCGCTCGCCACAGTAGTTTCTTTCTATTTTTATTCTGCTGACCGGTTTTTCACTCTCTCATAGTTTTAGTTGTCCTTTTTCTCTGGTGCTAGTGGTGTTCTTCTGACCTGTGCATTGTACTGCCTCTTACCACTTCCTTTCCATTTTATAGCTTCTAACCTTTTTTTTTTTCTTGCTCCGTTGTGTCGCTGTTAATATTTATTTTTTAAGGATTGCTTGAGCCCGCTGAAGGTTAATAAACTAACCAATCCATTCCAGGGAACTATCCACGGTAACCTGGGCAGAGAATTTTTACGAAATCCCCTTCTCTCACTGTGTGTGTGTGTGCTAGCCTCATCGCAAAGGCAGCGGGGATACTAAGCGAAACGAGCACTTAGCCAGGAAAGAAGCAGGAAGAGCAGCAACCGTGCAAACTAGGAGGGACGAAAAGCGGTAATTTTGGGGAAGGTTTCTGCGTGAGTGAAATGAATCGAAGGCCGGAACGTATGAGTGCTGTCGCTTCTGTTTTTTACGAGCCCGATGTGAAACGTGACACTGAGGACTCAGATAATCTGGTGTATTGGGATGGTGAGAAGGAGTCAGCTCAGTCGACGTGCGATCAAAGTCTCCCCGGAGTCCTTTATACTGGAATATGTTCGTCGCGTTCTAATTTTTTTGCTGCACCTCCGAGAAAAGGCATTTTTCTTGATCTCATCGATAGCCTGCTGCACTCTGGTACGGCGTCATCTGTCTCACAAGCTTCTGACAATCCTCTTCAAGATGAAACACCTATTTCAACGGGTGAAGGGGTGCAACGATTCTTTACTACGGAGCTGGTGGGCCGCCTATGCGATGAAGTTAAGGCCGTCTTGGAGGGGGAAAAAGTGTTGCTAAACATCCAAGTAGAACAAAACGAAACGCTCGTGGTTGTGGGCGACATTCATGGTCATTTCAACGATCTTATCTACCATATTTTACCAGAACAGTCAGATAAAAAGCTGAACTTTGATGGATCGGACCGCAAATTTCTTTTTATGGGGGATTTTGTGGATCGTGGACCGTGTGGGGTGGAGGTGGTAATGCTGCTGTTTGCACTGAAGGTGGAGTACCCGCAACTTATTTATATGCTCCGTGGGAATCACGAGGACCCACACATATCTTCTATATATGGTTTCTTTAACGAGGTACGCGCGAAATTTGGCTGTGATGCCCCCTGGGTATGTTTTAATGAAGTATTCCGTTATTTGCCTCTTGCCGCCGTGGTCACGACCCCGCGAATTCGTTTCTTCGCAACTCACGGAGGCCTTTCCCCACCGCTTTTAGAGTCATTTGACATCATAAAGACAATTGAGCGGTTGGACTACGGCGGTGCTCTTGACAGCGTCCTTAGCGAGGTCGTAGGTGGCCTATTGTGGTCCGATCCTACCGATATGACGGAGTACTTTGCGCGAAACATGCGGGGATGTGGATACATGTTTGGCCCACAGGCTAGCCAGAAGTTTTGCCAAATGAACCAGTTTGACTTTATCTGCAGAGCTCACCAGGTTGTGTCGGAGGGATATGAATGGTGCCACGACAATAAGGCACTCACTGTCTTCTCCGTGCCCAATTACTGCGGATTTAGCGAAAATTTAGGGGCTATTATGATAGTGCAAGTCCTTGGATCTGACGAGGAAAAAGAGGAGCTGCGCTTTAAGCAATTTAGCTCAGCCGCAGAAGTTGATGAGTATTTGCCTTATTTGGTAAAGACGTGCGGAGAGTTTGTGTTTTCAGCATTTATGGACTGATAACTTGAAATTTTACTTTTAATATTTCTTTTTTTTGTTGGGAGTGGAGGTGCGGGAAAAGGGATCTTTTTTATTTTTTATTCTTTCGTGTTTATATGTGCATATATTTCTCTTGGTGGTTTTGCTGATTAAATTTTCTCTGGCCATTTAAAGGTGTGTGCAGACTCTCCTCCGTGTGCTTGCTGGAATGGGAGGAGCACTTAAAGAGCAGACATTTGCGTTACCTGTTTTGTTTTGTTTTGATATCTCCCTTTTGGTGTGACTAAGTGTTTTTTTTTATTGTTTATCGTTAAGCGTGTTGTTTTGAGGAAACTCAGAAACGCATAACACAAAACGAGGGGAAAAAAAAGGGGGAAAATTGAGGAGCAAATAAAAAAAGAAAGAGATATGCGTGGAAATTTTCGATTTGCAAAAAGATAGCGACTCGTCAGCACGCATGCACTGTTGTTACAGACCAGACTCTTATTGTTGCTTTGGAATGTGTTCTGGCTTTGGTGGTAATTTTACTGCTTTGGTGCAGAGGGAGAGAGAGGGGAGGGGGGGGGGGGGTGAATTTGTGCCCTTCGTTATTGCCGTATCTTCTCATCTTTGCTTCCGTCACCACCGCACGGTGGGAGGTGTTGTGGTTGTAGTGCTCCATGGGCGGTGCCACTTTTTCAGGGTTTATGAGCAGAAATATGTTTACTTGTTGAGGCTTTTTAAAACTTTTTGCTCCTCGTTTTTTTTTTATTCTGCGTTCGAGTTTGTTTGTTTGTGTGTTTTCAGCTGCGCCGGTGTGTCTCCGTTGCCTTCCCCTGCACTGGCGTGTTGAAGTCCATGTGCGCGGGGGGATCCCGCGATATTCCAAAGACGAAGTAAAGCCGTTAGGCGTTGTTTTACTCTTTATCTTATATGGTTTCGCAGAGATGGTGCACAACATGCCACGAGGCATACTGTAGCCCACAACGGTGTTCCTTGTAATTTTTTTGAAACTTTTTCTGGAGTTTGATGCAACCCCTCCCATGTTCGTGTGTCAGTGTATAAGTACGCCTATGGTTATCCTTAGTCCTGATGGCGTGCTTGTGCCGTGGCAAACTTATGTTGATAGTGCTTTCATTGGTACTGTGAATAATAATACCAAAAGGAATGGGCATAAAGAGGGTATCGTGGGAGAAGAGGGGGTGACGGGGAAAGTGCCATGAGGCACAAGCGTTCTCCACGCACTTTTCTAGCGTGTATGTAGGTGAAAATGAAATATCATCGTCATTGTCCTCATCTGTTTATTACAAGGAAGGTAAGAAGGTTGTTGGAGTAGAGGAGTGCTGCTTTGGTCTGTGTGTGCATGTGTAAATAGAAGGCATCAACTGAAGATACGGAAGAGCTGGTATGTTCGGCAACGACGCCTCTCACAGCTCATTGTGTTCCAAGCATAGAACAACTAAACGAAAGGGGTGGCAGCGGTGGTGGTGGTGGTGGTGGTGGTGGCATTTGCTGCCGCATCTGCAATAATTCGTGGTGACAATTCTTGCTCTTCTATTTCTCCCTTTCTTTCTATTTATTGCTTGTTGCTTCTTGACTACGCATTACCTTTGAGTGGGGTCCGGGTCGTGGGTGTGTTTGCAGGTCATCATGCAGGACCAGATCCAGAAGCTACTACTCATTGGCCCCGGTGGGGCCGGGAAAACGTGCATGCGAAGCATTATATTCGACAACTATTTGCCGCGTGACGCGCTGCGGCTGGGAATCTCCATATCTTTGGACCAGAGCCAAGTGCGCATGTTTAACAACCTCTACCTCAACCTATGGGACTGTGGTGGGCAGCACCGTTACGTGGCGGAGTACCTGAACCGCCAGAAGGAGTACATCTTCCGAAGCGTCAGTGTGATGCTTTTCGTGTTTGACATCAATAGCATGAGCCGCGAGAGTGATGACACATATGGAGGGATGTCAACCGATTGGAGCCGGCCGGAGATGTTGGAGTACTTTCAGTCTGCTATGCGTTACATTCGACAATACAGTCCACATGCGAAGATTTTTGTGTTGCTGCATAAGATGGATCTCATCGCCAAGGAACTTCGTAAGACTATTTTTGAGTCTAGGAAGGCAGAGATTCTCTCGCGACTCGAGGTTGACGAATCCGCGTGCAACATCCAGTTCTTTGCTACGAGCATTTGGTCAGACTCACTTTATTTGGCATACAGCAGTGTTGTACGCTCCCTCATACCTCATAGAGATGTTCTCATGCGAGAGATGAAAAAGTTGCTCCACAGCTGCAACGCGATGGAGGTGGCTCTCTATGAGCGCAGCACGTTTCTTTGCCTGACACACGTCAGCCGCAAGGACGCCGATGACAGATTTGTAAGCAACGCTGGCGGCAGTGGTAGCGGCAACAATAATGACAACTATGCTAACGACGACACTTGCGTTGAGACGGACAGCAGTGCGATTGGCACACCAAAATGCGAATTCCGAACGACAGAAGTGAGTGAGACGGTGAAACATTTTAAGTTAAGTTGCATGAACAATTCGACGAGTCTCGATGGATTTCAGATTACCACGGAGAACTTTACCGCGTTGCTTCACCCCTTTACAAACTGTACCTATGTGCTTCTTGTTTCGACGGACCCTAGTGTTAGTGTTGAGCTTCACAAGCTCAACGTGCACAGCGCACAGCGTGCGTTTGAGCTTTTTCTTCGATCGGGGGACCCCATTGCAGAAGAAATGAGGCAAATACTGTGATTCCCCGCCCTTACTCTGTTGTTGTTTGTTCACGCGTGTGCTTGTGCATGGGTGTTGTTTGCATTTTATCCATTCGTATTTCTTCACCAATTTTTTCGTTTTGCTTGCGTCTTTGGCGCAGCTTGTTTTCTTTTGTTTGTTTGTTTGTGTTTTGATTTTTATTTTATTCTTATTTTTTCTGCTGCGCTGAAGGCGCCTCTCCGTCATTTTGGCCTCTAGGGGGAGAGGCGAAAACAACAGCGTCAACAGCCACATTGACAAGGGAGTAGCGATGCACCAGGCCTTAGTGGTCATTGGCCACGCCGTCCGGTCGCCCTCGTTAGTGTCTGTGGGTGGTGATGGCAGGTGGCTGGCGTATGGCTGCGCCAGCGACATGGTAGTTGTGTGTAGTATACCAGACGACAGTGGGGAACAGCACTCTTCATGTGATGAGGACTTTGCTGGTGCGATGAGGATTGTATCACTGCAGGCTGGGGAGAACCTGTCCGTGGTTGCGTTGCACCAAACCAAAGAGACGTTTTGTATTGGGACTGCACACCATGGTTTGTACTTAACCACGGCGTCGAACCCCGTTCTTAGTAGCACAACCACGCGCCTGCCAATGCATCTCACAGGTGAAAGTGTATTTGCGTCTTGCTTTATTGATGATCACGAAACGGGTCTTGACGTGCTTGTGGTTTCTTGCGGCTCCCAAGAGTTGGCGAAAACGCGCTTTAAGCTATCGCTGTGGGACGTGCACACACGATTGTTGCTGTGGCGGGGGTGTGCGGACGCCCTGGATGCCATTGTACCGCTACCAGGCACCTTTGGATTTGCCTCCTGCGCCCAGCGGGAAGTCACGTTGTGGGAGGTACAGCTACCCAGCAACGGTGCAGCGAATGCGACTGGGCACCGCGGCATAAGTGGAAGCAGGAAAAACGTTAGCGGTGAGGGAGGCGGAGACATAGGTTTTACAGTTTTGAGCAAGACATGCAGCGCCGTGAACGAGTTACGAGATGCGGAGTTTGTCGCAATTGTTCCTCTCAGAGGAGCTGAGACTTTGTTGACGGTGCTAACAAGCGTGGGATTTTTGGTATCGTTTGACTGCCGCAGTGGGGCGCCTGTAAAGTGGATGGACTGCAAAGTGTGTCCCGCCACCGCTGCGTACCGCATGGCAGACGACATCATAGTTTGTGGGCCGATGATTCGGTTTTTTTCCTTTGACAAGTGGGAGTTTCACGGCAAGATCAAGCAAAATGCTCCCCCCGCCGTTGTAGGCTCATCGCTTCTGACACGGCTTGTAGATGCACTCTGCACCGGGGCTGCCGTGTGTGGGAAGGATCGAGCCGTTTTTTTTTTAGCGGAGGGGACATGTCGCGATACCGCGTCGTCAGGCCCATGAACGGGGCATCCAAGCTGGCGTTTCATCACGTTTATCAGTACACCCCCGTCTTGCCAGATGAGGCCCCGCTACGCTGGATTCTTTTAGGCACAGACACGCTCTGTTTATGGTCCCCGCGGCGCTTGCGACTGTACGACACGAGACTTTGGAAAAACTCAAGCATGACGCTTGAAAGCACATGTGCCGTCTATCATTCCAGTCTGGGCGTGTTACTGGCCTACGACGCTTCGGCCTATGAAATTGTTGCGATTACGCCCAACTTGGAGCGTGAACTTTGCCGTCTCGGTGTCGCTGAGCCGCTAACGAGCCTAGTTGTTCATGAAAAAACCCAGTTTGCGTGTCTTTCCTTGGACAACAGTTTGTTTTACTTTAGCGGGCAGTGGCAGGGCAGAGGTGAATTTGTCCTTCAAGGGCTGCACTCTACACGCTTGACCGGGTTTAAGGTGCCGCTGGCACAATTGGTGTCCGTGAAGGGTGCGCTTTATGCTGCGTCAACGCACCTGGTCGCCAATCTCCAGACAGGAGACAAGGTCAAAGTTTCGGACGACATTATCTCATTCGTTGTCGCAGGCAACACGCTTTTGTTGGTCCATCGTCATTACTGTGTGGTGTTGGACCCCATCACGATGCAGCGTGTCGGCACACCTCTGCAGGCACCCGGGTTAGAGGAGGCGGTTCCCTCTCCAAAAGGTGATGTTGTTGCTTTACGCAGCGCAGTGAAGATTTCTCTTGTGTCTCTCAAGGGCAGACAACCGGTGGCACACCTCTCGCTTCAGCGGGAATCAAGTGGCCTTGGCTCTGCAACTATCATTTCTCTTGGCTTTACAGCTGACGGGAATTCTCTGATTTTGTGTGACTCGAGGGGTCTCTTTTCCGTACACCGACTTGGAAGCATAGAGGCGGCGGTCGCAACTGATGTCAAACGGGTGCCGCGACAGCAAATTGAGCGCGGTGGCAGTAGGCGTTCGCTTTCATGTGGTGGACCGACAAATAACGAGCTGCAGTCCCGCTTTTTGGACCTTCACGGTTTCTACGAAACCACCCGACGCACACACAAGGAATATGAAGGAGGCCAACAGCGATCGAACTCTGTGACCTCTGTGTTTTCGCGACGAAACACGGCAACAACGACAAGTTCTAGTGGGCTCTTAATTTTGGCACAGGGGGATAGCATTCTTCAGATACCGTCGACTTCTGCCAGTCAGCAACTCCCCTTGTTGCGAAAGTGGGAGTCGGACCGCGCACCAACGGAGCTGCCGCAGGTGGTCAGCACTATAGAAGGTCCCGACGTGGGCGTATCCACGTCTGTGGTGGAGGTCTCAGCTCTTACTTCTCTGGAGTCCATACTGAATTTTAACATGCACACCGTCGCGGAGAGCGATGCGCCCCTGACTCCGTCAATTGCTGCCGACCTTCTCGTAAAGGAGCGGGACAAGGTGACATTTGCCGATGCCCCAATGTACGGGGTGCGAAGTCCAGCACGAAAGGGGCAGCCATCGATAAGCCCGACAGGAACACCAGAGGATGACGTTGTGAACATTGAATCGATTGAGAATGAGGGACTGCGGAAGGAGTTACATTACGACCCCTTGAACATGGGTGTCACTCCTCCAAAGTCGCCTTCTATGGCGTCTAACTCATCAAGTTCCGTGAGGGTTCGTTCATGCGAGCTACGCGATGCGCTGAAGAATCTTGCTGAGGCGTACGAGCGGCAAGACCAAGAAGACTCTGTGGACGTCGAAAACATCATTGACACGGAGGCAGTGGAGGAGATGTTTAACACAGTGAGTCGCCTGTACGCGCGGCTCCAGTCACGCCAGCCACGGCGACCAGGCAGCGCGGGTAGTGTCGCTGGCAGTGACGTCTCCACCTCATCTTTCAACGTCATTTTGACTGATCTTCAGCGTTTGCAGCGCCAGAGCAGCCGCATCGAGGCACAAAATGAGGCGATACTCACAAAGCTTGGGCTGAAATGACTCGACCAGCAAAATCCGAAGCAAACTGACACTGGCAACAGCGAAAAAAGAAATTAAGAAAAAATAGAGTGGGCGGTAAAAGGAGAGGCATGGAATGGATCGATGGGTGGGATGGGGAGGAGTTGGGAAGATGAGGGTGAGATAAACCGCATTTGTCATACGAGAACGTAATGCGCGTTTTCAGGCAGCGGCATTCATCGCAATCAGAAGCAACAAAAACGTTAAGAACAAGAAAGATTTTGCTTTTTCCTCTCTTTGTACCTTTTATTCCTCCTTACTTACTGTTTTGCGGTGTTGCCCTGCTCTTTTGGGAGAAGGGATTTCATGGTGGGGAGGCCTTCTAAGCCTTCTTTTTTTTTTCTCCGATCCTTCTTGAAGAGACGAAGGATTTTAGTTTCCGCACTCGTTGTGTTTGAGCATGTTTAAGCTGTTTGTGTCAAAGCTTCCGAAGAGTGTTTCTGCAGAGGAGACTGGAGACTTCCTCGCAACGCTTTTCCCTGAAGCCGTACACATTCAGCTGCTGCAGGGTTCACGCAGCGGGACTCACAAGGGACACGCTTACCTCCACTTCAAGAGTGAGGTGGCGGTAACTGACGCACTTCGACGACTAGAGGAGGGACCACCACTGATCTTCCATGAAGTGTCAATCCACGTGAAACGTGCCAGTCGTGTTGAGACGGTGGAGCATGGCAGCTTGCCCCCTCAAACCTTACCCCCACAGCTTGCACACTACGCACACTCCATGTGCGCAACGGTTTCCTCGTCTGCAGTTGACGCCCTTGACGGGGTCGTCGCCCGCTATGAGCTCAGCGACGGTGTCACGGCTGTGGCTTTTGGATCAGAAGTCCAAATGACTGCTGCACTGGAGTCTTGCCGGGGAAACGCGTCAAGGTGTTTGCCTCCACTCTTGCCAGAACTTTTATCATCACACAATACGCGAAAGCGCAGACGTGGTGATAAAGATGATGACGGGGGTAGTCATCGTAAGGAGGAACTTAAAGACTTCCATGACACCGGCGCAGGCGTAGGCGATGGACCACTTACATTGGGGAGTGGTGCGGATATGGTGGCGTCGTATGAGAGGCGTGGGCTAGTGCCACTCACTCCAGCGACAGCCTTGACCCTGCTGCGGGATTTCATGGAGGGGCGTGGTCGTATTGCTCTGAAGGATCATAAGGGTCACATCGCGGTGATGCTGCTGCCAGCACATGCAGCGGCTTTGGAGTGACGTTTTTTAGCTGTGAACGTCTTTGGCCACATTTCGACTGGCTGCGTCAAATCTTTCCTTACTCCCTTTTGTCCCTCTTTGCGTGTCTCCTTGAAACGACAGCTGCTGTACACGTGACAAATGCCTCTTGTTACGTTTTTCCTTCTTTTTTTTTATCTATGTTTTTTTTTTTTTTTTGCTCTCTGCGCTATGGAATTTTCCTGTCGTAATTCATTTTTTCTTTGCAAGCGTTGAGGAAAGCACGGGAATTCAAAAGAGAGACAAGCAGCCACTGAAGCCATTGAAAACGCATCTTGTGCTTTGCGAGTGCATTGTTCCTTTGACACCGGTAACTTAACGGCTGAGGGGACCCGGAAGGGAAGAAAAAAAAAAAACTGAGAATATAGATAGATAGACACAACAAAGGAAGGGAAGTTAAGGATAAGGAAATAAACTGCGCTTGCGTGATTGGGCACAACAACCTGAGAGAAACCATCGCCGACACGCCGGCGTGTATCTACGTTTACATACACATCATTACTTCCAAACGGTTGACTTTTTTTTTTTTTGTTGTTGCCAACATAGCAAACCACCTTGTGTGAGGAGGTGATGAGTTGTGCATGGTGCTGCGGCTGCAAACGTGAAGAGGAGGTTGAAGAGCAACAAACGGAGGTTATTGTGCATATGAACGATCGCGAAGCGAATGCACCCTACAATTACCCTGACAACTTTGTAAAGACGACAAAGTATACGCTCTGGACGTTCCTTCCACTTGAGTTACTGATGCAGTTTAGAAGAATAAGCAACTTTTATTTTCTTATTTGCATGGTTCTCGCTCTTATCCCTGGTGTTTCTCCTGTAAGCCCTGCAACCGCCGTCGCCCCACTTGTATTTGTTGTTGGGGTGGCGATGACCAAGGAGGGAGTGGAGGAGTTCAGGCGTCATAGGGCGGACAGTAAGGCCAACTCTGTTGAGGTGGAAGTTCTTGTGAATGGAGAGGTGGTAAAGGTTCCTAGCCGGCAGCTGCATGTGGGGGATGTTGTGCGAGTGTACTCTGGAGAAGAATTGCACGCTGATATATTTTTCCTGTCTTCCCACTCCGAGAAAGGGCAGGTGTTTATTGATACCTGCAATTTGGATGGCGAAACAAGCCTAAAGAGTCGTAAGTCAATTGAGGTGACGCGATCACTTTGCTCTCCTGAAACCCTGGAAGCAGCACGACTCACATTACACACTATCCCCCCTGATCCCGGACTTTTATTGTGGTCTGGCTGGATTGACCTCAACGGGGACACCTGCGCCGCTGACCTGAACCAGTTTTTGTATCGTGGCTCCGTTCTTCGCAAGGCACATTGGCTATGGGGATTTGTTATTTACGCCGGCTCAGACACCAAAATGTTTCGCAATTTAAGGAAACGGACATCAAAATCTTCTGATTTGGACTTGAAACTAAATATTCTCATAGCCATTGTGTTCTTATTGCAAAACTTCTTTCTAGTCTTGCTTTGCTCGCTTTCGGTGTGGTGGAATAATAAACACCACAAACACTGGTATATCCGGTGGTACCTGGAGCAGCATGGGGCTGCCTCACAGTGGTTTCTCAACTACCTCACCTACTTTGTATTACTTAGCTATCTTATACCCATTTCGCTGTTTGTAACCATCGAGGTATGTAAGGTTATCCAGGTCTACTGGATGCAGCGCGACTCCAAAATGGTGGAGCTTGTCAACGGATGTTTGCGCCGGTGTAAATCTAACACGTCAAATCTGAACGAACAACTTGCGATGGTGCGTTACATTTTTACGGACAAAACGGGTACCTTAACAGAGAATGCAATGAGGTTTAAAATGGGTGATATTATGGGTAATACAATTCGTGGGGAAGACATTGAAGGTTCACTAGAGTTGCTTAATAAACAGAGTTCAACACGTGCTGCCGCGGAAGAGTATTTTCTTGCGTTGGCTCTTTGTCACACGATTCAGCCGTTTCCAGACACCCACAGCCCCTTTGGGGTGGTGTATGAGGGTAGTTCTCCTGATGAAGTGGCACTTGTTACTGCTGCTGCAGAGCACGGCTTTTGTTTGCGGGAGCGTACCTCAAGCTCCTTGACGGTGAGGGTGGAGAAGAAGACCATAGTGTATGAAATCCTTGCTACACTGGACTTCACACCTGAAAGAAAAATGATGAGTATCGTTTTGCGGGAACGGAATAAGGAACGGATCATGCTTTTTGCAAAAGGTGCCGATAGTTCCATAAACTTTCGGACCATGGATAACGCGGATATTGAGGAGTATAAACGGAGTTTGTCACTAACACTGTCAGATATGGCGAAATACGGGCTACGTACACTTCTCGTCGCTACACGTGACCTCACTCCGAAAGAATTCGAGGAGTGGAACGCACGTTTTTTGGACGCCGGGAAGGTGCTTGTACGCCGTAGTGAGGCCGTTGACAAGGTATGTGGCGAGATTGAACAGAACCTGCGACTGCTCGGAGCCACCGGTATTGAAGACAAGTTGCAAGAGGAAGTTCCAGAAACGATATCGTTCTTTCTTGACGCCGGTGTTGTGGTATGGATGCTCACTGGTGACAAGCGGGAGACAGCGGTGACAGTTGCCGCCACAGCCTCGCTGTGTGATCCAAGGAATGACTATGTTTTGCACGTTGACGTGGACTCAATTGACCCTAAACACTTGAGAGCGGTGGAAAAAGTTGGGTCTGATTTACATGAAGCAGAGTTGTACTTAGAACGTGGGAAGGAAGAGGGTGTTCGGTGTACTCTTGTGATCGATGGCATATCCCTTAATGTGGTGATGGAGCACTACTATATTTTATTTCTTAGGTTGTCCATGGGTCTTGGTTCGGCTGTGTGTTGTCGGCTCACGCCGTTGCAGAAGGCCGAAATTGTACGCATGTTTCAAAAAGCAACGGGCCATACCGCCATGGCCATTGGTGATGGCGCAAATGATGTGACTATGCTTCAAGAGGCTCGTCTTGGCATTGGTATTATTGGCCTTGAAGGAGCACAGGCAACCCTCGCCGCGGATTACGTTATTCCCAGGTTTAGAAACCTTCGTAGACTTTGTGCCGTTCATGGGCGATATTCTCTTCTCCGTAATGCGAGCTGCATCGTGGTGAGTTTTTACAAGAACTTCGCATTGGCTTTTATGCAGTTTATCTTTAGCTTTTACTGTGGATTTTCAGGACTCACACTTTTTGACGGGTGGCTGCTGACCTTCTACAATATTATGATGACTAGCATCCCACCATTTTTTATGGGTATCTTTGACAAGGACATTTCCCCTGCGGTGTTAAGTTGCCGCCCTGACCTTTTTGCCCCCCTTTCACGGGGGCTGTATTTTAATTTGATTGTGATGTTGCGGTGGGTCTTTGAGTCTGCGTTCCACGCATGTGCCATATTTTACGTGCTTTACCCGACAATGATGGGCCTTGACTTCAGCCGTCACAGTGATATTTCTGGGAGTATGGGGGGCACCATGAGCCTGTTTATGCTGGTGTCGGTTGTGCTGGGCCGCTTGGCTCTGCAAGTGCGGTATTGGCAACCCCTGCAGGGTGTGGGGTTTGTCTTTTCAGCTGTTGTTGTGGTTTGTTTCCTTTTTGCATACTCTTCTTTTGCCCATGTTGGGGAGTCGTCGTTGTATTGGCAGGTTTACGTTTTGATGGCAGGAGTGAAGTTTTGGCTGTATCTGTTGCTCTTGCTGGGAAGCCTTATCTTTATTATTGACCTGTCGATGCTGTACTTCCAGAAAAAACTGAGACCCACCCCACGCGACGTTGCGGAACGGGAACGCTTCAAGCTGCTCCGAGAGCGAAGAAAAAAAAGGTCGACGCACCCCGTTTAAAGTGTCATGAAGGCGTAAGCAAATTGTTTCCCTCATCTTTTGCTTTCTTCACCGCCAACAAGAGAAGGAGCATGAGAGAGGTTTCAGGAAGGCAGGGGGCACTGGCTTGAGTGCGTACACATATGTGTACAATCTCTCACTGCACACGCATATGCACACCTTCGCATGGATGCTATGATGAGTATTATGATTATTCTCGTCATGACACGGGACGGCACCGGGGATGGCAGAACAGAAGCGGGAATGAAATAACGGAAATAGAAAGGATAAAACAGTCAGCAACAAATAAATAATACACATTCCCTTGATGTCAGGTAAGTGGAGGGCCTCCTGGCAGCAAGCAGGGGAAGATCACAGGGGGAGAGACAGAGGGAGATGAGGAAAGAGATAGTTGGCGATGGGAATTTGGTGTAGCACGGAGGCTGTATCGCACAGGAAGGACACAAATGGTGATGTGCTTCACTTTAACTCCTCCTAACAAACAAGAAGCAGCGTTTTGATGAAAAGAAGAGAAAGGTGAGTGATATATATATATATATAGTCGTGCTTTTCTATGTTAAAGCTCTACCTGAAGGCGAGGGATCCCTCCGTCTTTTCTTTTTTTTTTCCTTGTTGACTTTGCTTCTTTTTTAGTTTTTTTTTTTTTTTGGTTTTTTTGTTGTGTGCTTCCCTTACCCTTACACTGCGGACTGTAGTAGATGATTCTGAGGCCAAGGGTTTCCCTTGGTTTGCGTTAAAAACAAAAGATAATATATATGGTTTTTTTTTTGGAGTTTGTATTTTGCTTTTTTATTGGAAAAATGGTTGTGAGTTTCCGTTTTTTCATGAGAGGACACATGCCGTGTAGCGCTGCAGGCTTCTTACCGCTCCCCTTTTCTTCCTCTGCCGCATTGTTGGCCTGTGCCAACGCACGGAATTCAGGGCGACCGGAGGAGAGCGATGCTTTGGTGGGAATTTGATTCCAGCAACGTGGTGATGGGAATACACTTTGTTTAGGCGGTGAATGAAGGTTAACCCGGGGAAACCTTAATATAATTTCTAGACAATTGGACGAAAAGAGAAAGAGTGTGAGAGTGTGTGCTTCTTAGCGGGGGGGAGGGGGGGCACCTTCGTGGTGGCTGAGTGGGTGCTGCCCTGCTGGTCGGGTAATGTGAATTTGGTAGAGGAACCAAAGAGGTAAACTTTCGTGCAATGCGAACATCGGCAAACAGGGGCAATGCGACGAGTAAATTGGATGTTGTAAGGAGATCTGTTTTTGCGATTATTTTGTTTTGGTGTTTTGATCTTTGTCGAGCTATGGAGATGCAGTCGAAATGCAAACACCAACATTTTCTTTTGTTTTGTTTTTGAATACTTTCTTTGCTTTTTTCTCTCTTTTGTCGCAATTAATACCACGGAGGTACAGCTACGCTTGTGCGTTGGAATTTATGTGTCGATGAAAATGTGAAAAAAAAATGCAAGTGGCTGCTAGGCGAGCTACCTCTAATTGCTCTTCGTACTTTTTTTTTTGTGTGTGTGTGTGTTTTTGTCCCGATTGTGCGCTATGAAGGACAGTTGTTTGGCATCATATTTGGTTAGGGGCGGGTGGGACGAGAAACGTTTTCTCCGTCGACCCCTCCCCCTCCAAAGAATCGATGTTTACACGTATATGCTTGTATTTGCACATACACGCGTTTTCGTGTGTACATCGCCTGCATCAAAGCACACTGAGGGAGGAGGGGTAGTACAGACAATCAAATTACTCGAGCCCAATAATTTGATTTTACATGCATGCACGTGTAGGGAAACGCAACGCGGAGGTAAAACAGCAGCAATACCACATTGTCTTATGCGATCGCTGTAGTTGTCGAATTTGGGTTACTCGTCCCTTTTAATTGTTTGTTCTGTTTGTCAAATATCGGTTGTTATTTTGTTTTATTGGTATCAGGCAGTAAAGGCCAGGGCTTTGCAATACGTTTTGAGGTCTAACCTTGGGCTGCTGTGTAAGATTCATGTGTGTTTCCTTGCGTACATGTCCCTGCATACGACTATGCGACGTGCTGAGAAGTGGGTGACATTTTTTCGTGGATGTTCTTTTTTTTTTGTCGGAGATGGTGAATGGGGCAATACCAATTTCTTTTTTTTTTTTATTATTTGGTTGGAGCTCTACCTTGCTAAAAGAAGAAGAAAAAAAAATTGTTGTCTTGATGCCAAGACCTAATGCGCCTGGCCATATAACCTTTTTACCTCTTGCTTCCTCCTATGCGGTTTTGCCTTCTTGTTGTTGCATGCACTCCCCTCAAGCCTTTCTGTGGTGAAGTGTTTGCGCTGGATGGTTTGCGGGTAAACCTTTTTCCTTCTCTTTGTTTTGTTGTTGCTGTGTGTCTGCGTTTGTTGCAAGGGATTCTTTCGAGTCATGTTTTAGTGCGCCCTTGGTTTCATTTGCTGTGTTCACTCTCTCTTCGTCCTCTTATCACCGGCCTATTGGTTTTGCATTTCGCTCCTCTTTTCTGTATGGGCTTGTATCTATCTCATTATTATCCTCTGTTCTCTCTGTGTCAGTCTCTTATTATTATTATTTCCTTTTTTTTTTGTGTGTTTCTGCGATGAGGTGTTTGGGCTTGGGTGCGTGCCCGTGTTGAGGGAGGCCGTGGGACATGTCGTCGCTGACCTACGAGGATTACTACCAGCAGGCCCTCGAGGACCTGGCCTTCATTTGGAAGGAAGATGTGAACGTCACCAAAGTGCGCGTCGCGGCTGGAGGGCGACCACGCTACGAGCAGCTACTCCAGTATTGGGTTTCTCTATACATTCAGTACCTGCGCACGGCGAAGCGCCTCGCCACTGTGCACGACGCGCAGCTACAGCCACAAAAACGCTACGATGTTCGCACGCTGCTCGACACCTGCTTGGGCCGGATGTTGGAGCTGCGAAACCTCCTCACAGTGAACTGTGGTGAGTTTGTGAAGCTGGATGATGCCATGCTTGACACGAAGATGATTCCGGACGATCTAGAGGTGCCAATTCCGCGCTACTTTGTTGAGGATGCTGCGTCGGAGCTGCAGGAACGACGTCGACAGATCACAGCACTGCAGGCACACTACAAGGAAACGGAGGTGAATGCACCTGTCTCCAAGGCTCTCACTAAGGGGACCGAGAAGGGTCCCTACTCCCAAGCTAGTGCCGGCATGACTACCACAATTATGACAGTGGATGACGCGGTGAAGCTTTTGCAGGTGAATGAGCGTGGACGTCAGGCACGCCAACGGGCCAAGTTTCAGATGGTAATCTATCTGCAGCAGAAACATGCCTTGGAACATGCGAATGAATATAGTTACACCGCAGGGAAAGAACGGGCGGCGTTGGTGGTGCAAAAGGCAGTTCAGGCCTATCTTGCTCGAAAGCATATATTGAACGAACACAATAAGGAGCTGGAGCTACTCGGTATGCGCCCCACCGCAGCCACTTTAAGTGACGCGGAGCGTGTAGCTGCTGGGGTTCGTCTAGAAGAGCGCAAAGCTCGTCAGCGCATGAATGAGGCGAATTATCGACAGAAGGAGGTCGAGTTGGAGGCGCGGCTTAAGGCAGAGGAAGGGCCGCGGACGATGGAAGAGATGTTAAACGAAGTTCTCACTCGCATGGCCTATGCACGGATGGAGAGCAAGGACGACACCCCACTCACATTTCCAACACCCGAAGAAGGTGGCAGTCGCAAGTATTTGGAGATTTATGGCGGCACCGCCGGTGCAGCTACGGGAACGGTCATCGCTAGTGGAGCTCCTTCTAGGTCTCCTCCTTCCTTTCCCGGGCTGCCTCCTGATGAAGCGAATGTGCGTAGCCGCATGGGTTCTGTGACAGTGCGGTCATCCTTTGCTGGTACTGCGCTCCCACAAACACCGTCACGAAAGGCGGGCAGCACTATACGACGCCGGGGAGAGGGAGAGGAAAGTCTTCCGGCGATGCCACCGAGTAATTTGTGGAATAGTATGAATGCGGTAGATGAGCGTTATCAAACCATTTGGAGGCCCCACTTTGAGCAGACGTACCTCAAGGATTTGGACCTCGACCAGGCAGCAGATGAGAGGCTTCTTCGTCATCAACTGTTAGAGGGACCACGTGGCATATTAGAGAATGTGCGGTGTGTTGTCGATGAGCTTATCATGATCGAGGTGGAGAACCTAAAGAAGCGTCTCGAGATGGAGCGGCGTGGAGGTAAAAAAAAGAAGGGTGGTAAGAAGAAGGGACCAAAAAAGCCGCGGGCACCAAAACTGAAGGATCCGACAAAAGGGGTAGATATCGAGACATTTATGAACAGTGCGGTGCACCAGAATGTCCTCCAGTTACCGGATCCGGATATTCGGCTGGAAAATTATTTGGGTTGTGCTACGGTGCATGGGTCGCCGCTTGATGTGCTGCTGCGCACGCAGAAGCCTGATGAGGAGCTTAAAAAGACGTGGCAGCGTATTCTAAACAACTGGGACGCCAACGTTGAACAGGCGATGAAGATGAAGAAGGATGCCTTTCAGAAGCTTTTTGACAAGTTTCTACAGCAGTCCTCTTGGCTCAGCGAACCTTCCGCAGCGCAGGTGCGCCAGTGCGTAGCGGAGTACGCCATCCTGCCGCTTGGCTCACAAGTCATTCATGACTTGGCGCCAACTTCAAAGACCCTTCTCCTTTACGGGTTTTCTGGTAGTGGCAAGACGCATTTGGTGCATGCTGTCTGCAACCATAGCGGAGCCAACCTTTTTGACCTCTCGCCGGCCAATTTTGAAACGAATACGAATCTGGTAGGCATTATTCAGATGGTGTTTCACCTTGCCAGAGTGTTGGCCCCGTCTGTTATTTACATTGACAAGGTTGAAAAATTGTTTTTGCGCAAGAAGAAGAAAAAGGGGCCGAAGGATCCCCTCATGGCACGAGGAAAGAAAATGAAAAAAGAGATACTCAAGGGCATTGCCGCTCTTGCGCCTACCGATCGTGTACTGGTCATTGGCTCCTCATCTGCGCCGTGGGATGCGGAGTTCAACGCGATGGTGAACAACTTTGCGCATATGATTCACTGCGTCACTCCAGACTACGCCTCACGTCTCATTCTGCTAAAGAAGTGGGTTGCACAGCGTACAACAGATGCCAATGCATTAAAGCCAGAAGGTTACCACGAGTTGGCCCTTCTTACAGATGGACTTTCTGCTGGGGAGATTCAACGCATTGTGTGTGAAGTGCTGCACACCCGGCGTCTTCGACGTCTTGCACAGAGACCACTCACGGCGTCGGACTTTTTATCCGCCGTCGCCCACGCCAAACCACCTAGTGGGGAAGAGCAAGCGCTAATGAAGGAGTTTTCACTGCGTTTACCACTCCGTCTGCGCCGCATAAACCCCTCTACGGACCTACCAGCGCCCGAAAAGAAGGAAGGCGGAACCAAAAAGAAAAAGAAGGAAGTGAAGGAATGATCAGAAGCACTGCGGGCACTGCTGTGGGTTGTCATGTAGCTGAAGAAAAAACAGTGATATTGAAATTGATGTAAAATAATAATAAAAATGAATTCCGTTTCATTTTTTCTTTTTTTTGTCTCATGTGCCGGATGAGGAGGAGAAGGGGAATGAGCCTTCGGGGTGAATGCAAAGCGGCAAGCAAGTAAGCAAACGACACAAAGCCTCGCAGAAGGAACTAATACCAAACAAAAGTAAAACAACAACAACAACAAATGGGAGATTATTATTAAAACACTTGAGTATTGTTTTTTTGCCAATGATGCCGTTATTCCTGATGTTTTTTCCTTTGATGTCTGCTTGCCATGCGGACACGTGTGCTGATTTTTCCTTTTCTTTTTATTGCCTGTGATACAAGCTACACTGATAATGGGAACCTACCTCCGTCTCACGCGACTCCGAGGGCTTCCTGCTGGAACCTTTAAGAAAGAATCATTAGTTGTGTCCACAGTGACAGAGCGGCGTGGTCAGGAAGGCCACGTACTCAGTTCGTATCTTGTTTTTGACCTTCAGTCCCTTCTTGAGGCAAACAGTCGGGGCCTTCTGGAGCCTTTGACAGGTGCCCTCCGCCGCAACCGAATTCTTATACCGGAATTGCTGTTGCATCGACTGGACGAAATGAACAAGAAGGCATTCCAGGCTCTTAGTCTTGGAAATTCAGACGAAGCTACCGCAACGGCAAAACGCTTTCGTGACCTCCTTCAGTTTCTGTTGCAAAACAAGGAAGCAGATTGGCTCTTGTTTCAACAAAAAGGAGTAAACGAGGATCAACGCTTTTTTCGAGAGAACACCTTGGCCAATGACTTGACCGACGCCCGGCGCTATGTAAGCTACGCGTTGTTTGTCAAGGGGAACGCCAGCGAAAAAGTCATGCTCGTTACCTCCGACCCAGGTCTAAAAAAGTGTGCAGCAGGCGAAGACCTACTGACGGTGTCGATTGGAGAACTTTTTAGAGTAACACATAAGGAGCTGTATGAGACTGTTCGCACCGTTCACCCACATCATCCCCTCTCTTTGGACGCATAGAAGATGAGTATAATCACCTCGCTAGGTGTTGTTTTGTCCCTGTGTTTGTGTGAGTTGGTTCCAAGACTGCTAAAGATTGTTTATGCCTTTTACCTCTTAATGTAATCTCTCCTTTATTTACTTATTTTTTTTTTTTTTGAGTCTTCGTCTTTCAGTCACGTGGATGCTTTTTGAAAGCGAGGGCCACGGGGATCAATACGGAACAATAACACCAAGCGGTGCCTCCTCGGAAAAAAAAAGAGCAAAAAAAGGTGTGTGGGAGAGAGGCCACATCACTTCTTGACTACGCGACGTGCATTCGGTAGCGTTTTGGTTTATAGGCGCTTGCTTTAACGCACAGTTCCCCCCCCCCCCCCCCCCCCCCCCCCATGTCACCCCTAACCTTCGTGCCTTTGTGCATTTGTGGGCGAGCGTTGGTATTTGGAGTGAACTGTAAAAGGGCTGTAAGGACGCGCGTCCCGTCTTCTCTTCCACCCCACATCGCCCGCCGCCTTCTGTGATCCATGACAGGAAGACGACGTGGCAGTTGTGTAGGGGTGATCTTCCTATTGACGCCGCTTTTGTTATTGTTGCAACAGTATCAACAACAGCGAGGACGGCAGCGAAAGAAGAGTCATGCGCTGGGAGATGACGGAGTGAGACTCCGTTCCAACTTGCTGGGAAACTGGTGTCCGCGCAATAGCGCATACACTGACACCAGCAAAGGAAAAAAAGTATTGGCGAAATAGGTTACTTCTGCACTCTTGATAACCTTAATCGTCAGATTTTTCGAACCATGTTTCTCCCTCCCTCCTTTTTTTTTGTTGCTTGTTTGTTGGCATTTTTTTTTTTTCTTGTATGGTTGGCTGATTTTAGCGGCTCAGGCGGTTGGTAAATTCTGCCAGTCATTCCTGGGGTGGTTGTATCACCTGCGCATCCTGGAGCAGGACGGCTGCGATGCCTTGGTGTTATTCAAGTGAAGCGTACGCCGATATGTGCCCCATTCCTTACCAGACATGAGAGTCTTTTGAGGCTTTCTATTGAAATTCACATGCTGCTGAGTAAGGGCTTTACGAGGGGTTTTCACATTTGTTTCTAACGAACAACTTGTTTGCCTCGGTAACGTTGATGGACGAAGGTGAGTTTTCTAAAGGTGAGGCAAATAAAGTGTACGGGTACGGCTTACTGTGGAGCAGGGGGAGGGGTGGATGAGCAAAGTTAGTGTCGATGAGAGGTGTCATGGTCACCGTGGTTGGATTTTTTCTTTTTATCACGTTTTTGACGTGCGAGCACGTGCACTGCTCTTGCTGTTGCTTTTTTAGCCGCTATTAGCCCCTCTTGTTTTTTTTTTTTTTGGCGAGCTGAATTCCATAGCAGCATTGCCCAATGAAGCTACCCCTATTTCCTGTCTACATTGATCAATTCTATTCGGACGGCGCTTTTGATGCTGTGTACCTGTTGTCTCACTTTCACACGGATCATATGAAGGGGCTCTCGCCTTCATGGAGTGAGGGTCTAATTATTAGCGACACGGTGACGCAGGCACTGCTTGCTCAAAGCTACGGGGATACCCTGGAGAAGCGGACAGTGTCATTGCCGTTGTTCCAACGAACTCCCTTGTTGAGCTTGACAACAAGCCATTCTTGCTCAGAGGCCAGTCGGAGTGGTGGGGAAAAAAGATATGTGTCGTTGGACTACGTTAAGCAGACTCACAGCGATGACAAATGTGGTTGCGGTGTCGGTGAAGAAGGGATGGTGGCGCTGTATCTCCTGCCCGCCTTTCACATCCCGGGTAGTGTCATGTTCTTCCTTGAAACGCCCTGCGGTAATATTCTTTACACGGGTGATTTTAAGTATGATGAGCATGCTAGACGCCGTCTGGACCCCTTCTTTGCCAATCATCGTGTGGATCATGTATACTTGGATGATACATGGCTGCATTTGGGTATCCACGACGTCTCTCTCTCGGTTAAGGGCAACGAAGGCACACAAGTGCAAAGCAAGATTCTATCAGAGATGGAGGTGGAGGAGGCAATAGAAGCAGTTGGCCGTCGCATGGATAGACGCGTGCGTGACTTTGCACTGGATAATAACTCTTGCAATAAACTTTGTGGTCCGTACGTATTGCGGGTGTATTTGCACAATCAGTTTGGTAAGGAGCACCTTGTTCAACGTCTTGCAACACGGCTTGCAGTTCCAGTTGTAGTTGACCAGACCCGGTACGAGCGTATTCGCCTTCTTGCTTCGTTTAATGAAAAAATTGCGGAGGTCGATGAAAGATTTTGTATGGACGTTGAACGTTTTGTGCCTTTTGAAAATTGTGGCGCGTGCCCTCGTGTGGAGGTTGTCTCTTCGCTGAAACAGATCTCTCCTGAAGGGCTTCGGGCTGCCGCCGAAAGAAACGGGGGCACGCCGCACTACGGTATTGTGATGTCTGGATGGGCTCTTTTCCGGCAACGTGGCGGGAAAGGCGATGAAACGTCTGTGTGGGAAATACCAACCACACTGCACTGCACACCGCAACAAATCATTGACTTTGTCGCGTTGCTGCGCCCCATGTCTGTGACGCCGCTGCATTACAAGCCTTGCCGCAGTGTAGTGGTGCTGCAACGACTTGGACCGTTCTTGCGACGACCGTACATGAACCATTTTTTGTCGGTTTCGGATGGGTTGAAAGATGATGCAAAGGAATGGCTGCGCTGCATTGTGTCCAGCAACAATGCCAGGGGGGAGGCTTTCTTTGCACCGAAAAGAAGTGGGTTTTGTATTGGTTCTTCATCCATGGGCAATACGTCTCCTCAACAGGAGACGTCCCTTACTTCTGGGGGAGAGTCTCTAACAAAGATGGAGCGGCAGCGGCGTAAGAGAGCGCATGCAGCTTCTTTGTCTTCAATTAGAGTGAGACGGTGCGATTACTCACTGTGTTCTGCTACGCCTTCTCTCACGCAACTGGCAGAGTTTCTTGATCTCTGAAGACTGAGCTTTTCATTCTTTCTGAGTGCATCCGTGCATCTGCGTGTACTGTGAGTTTTGAGCTTGTTTATATTTCAAAGGCCCTCTTCTTTTTTAAAATTTTTCTGTGCCATACAAGAAAAGTATTTTGCTCTTTTGTTGTTTTACGTCGGATGCCAATGGCGGAGGATAAAAATGGCAATGAGCTGATGGAGATTGAGGAGGTGGCGGTGTCTGACGGCGGCGTAGCCCGATTTGCCCCGGTAGATGTTCAGAGTGGTGAGGAGAAGTACGACGTCGTGTGGCAGGAGACGGCGAAGCTGCTGCGCTTTGACGAGGGCGAGAACCAGTGGAAGGAGCGCGGGCAAGGCACCGCGAAGATATTGCACCGGAAAGACGATCATGGCAAGTACATGTTTGTCTTCCGCCGCGAGGGTATCGGCAAACTGGCGGCGCAGCACTATCTTCTTAAGGCGATGAATGTGAAGTTTCACCCCCAGAGCGAAAAGGCGCTGCTATGGATGGCGCACAAGGACTACACCGATGATGAGGAGGGGTTCCCCGAGAATTTTGTGATGCGCTTCACCTCCAAGGAAATTGCTGAAAAAGCTCTGAAGGCCTTCAAGGATGCCATCGCTGCATCTATTGTTTAGTGGGAGCTTCTTGCGGCAGGTTTATTTCTATCTTTTTTTTTTCTTTGACATGCGCTCTTGTTTACTGTGTATATGGATTCTTACGTAATGTATTTTGCTTTACCGCCCTGAGGATACTTGAGCAGAGCCGAGCAATATAATGGAGGTATTCGAATCCCTCTTCTTTACAGTGTGAGAAAACGTTGCCAGCGGTGCAACAGCTGTGTGGGTAAGAAATGGACGCTAAAGATTGAGAGGAATGTGGATGCGTGTTTGACATGGTTGTCTTGCAGAGTTTTGTTTGTTGTTTACTTGCCCTATCACTTTTTGTTCTTCTCACACAGAGATCAATTTTTTTTTTTTTTTCTCATCATTCCACGCCAACGTCGGCAATGAAAGGAAAGAACAGAGGGACTCGTGCCTTTCTTTTTGTTTGTTTGTTTGTCTTTCACAGGAGAAGTAATAGGTATCTGCTGGTGTTTATTATTGTTATTATTATTTTTGCTTCGTGTTGACATTTTGCGCACTTCGTAGGTGGCCGCGGGATTTGAGGAATTCTGTTTGTTTGTTTGTTTGTGCGTGTGTGTGTGTGCGCGCGTTTTGGAGATGGACGAGCTTAGTATGCAGTACTTACGTATGGCGAATGGCCCACACGGTCAACTGCATGACCCGGCGGACGTGGTGAACTTCGTGGAACAAATGCAACTCGTGGTGGAACGCAGCTCTGCGCCGAGAAGGAATTTTCTTCTTGACACGACCACTCCACGTGGTGATGTCATCATCACGGAGGCCTCTGCGATGAAGCCAGGCAACGGCTGGATTACTCTGCAGGTGACGGAAGGGATTCGTCGCGGCGTACACGAGTGGTGTGTGAAAATTGAGCACCAAGGTGAGACGACGGATGGTAGTGGATTGATGCTGGGTATCGTGCCGAAAAGCTTTGCCAAGTACGACTCATTTATCTCACAGGGAGGTGGCTGGTGCTTGAGCCGTGCGGGAAAGTTTTACGGGCATTGGAGGCGACAAGACAACAACTTGAGTGTTGTCTTTGGCGCTGGTGACCGCGTGGTATTTATCCTGGACTACGAGGCGGCACGCATGACGGTGCGTGTGGGCGATAAGTCTGTTGTTGGTGAGATCAGCAATATTGCACCGGAGGTGTACCCTGCCATCTCTCTTCACTACCGTCACCAGTTTGTGCGCTTTGAGTACCACAAGGTGCACGACCGTCATGCGAAGAAACTGAACTGGATTGAACGCTTTGCTTTTCCACACGCTTCCGTGTACCTTCCACTCACTCCCGATCAACTGGAGAAGGTACCACTTGATTCATACGTTTTTAGCTCATTGTTTAATGAAAAAGGAGGACAACCTGGACGGTGGATACAACGACAGGGCTCTGCTACATTTTCTTCCATTCCCTTGGATGAGGCTATCCCTATATCGGAGGAATACGAAACGGCGCGGGCTGCAAGTGCACGACTAACAGTTGTGCTTCGGGCGATTCAGGCCGTACGACGGTATTGTGGTGGCGGTGTCACGCCGGTCGAGGTGTTTCTGGATCGAAATATTACAGCAGAAGCGCTACGCAAAAATTGGCATGCATTGTCAAGCCGTAGTGCTGCTTCCCGCGACGGGATGGACGCTGCCCTTAATTGTGGGGCATTGGTGCTTATTCACATGTTTGTTTACGCCAGCATGACTTTGGAGGGTGCCACTGTGTTGCCTCTGGTACACAACCTCCAAGAGTACCTTCGTGGCGTCACGCTATTTAGTCTCGGGGAGACGTCTTCATCGCCGCACTTCGTGGGGAGCTCCATCTCCCCAGAGGTGATGCGACAGGCCCTGGATGGTGTGGCAAAGCTCCTTGAGCAGACCCTTTCAAACGATACCATAAATAGGAATAATGGTGGCATCAATAATGCCATCAACATTAACGGCAACTCCAAAAGTATCATGAAACACACAAGTCACAATGGCCCAGATAGCATTGTTGCTTCAGCTTTGGTAGAACTTCTGGTATTGCTCTCGCTTCAATGTGGCTCCATAAGCGAGGTTCTACGCACAACACGGTATCTGTTACGTATGCCCACAAACTTTGTGTCGCAAGCCACATTAGACTGGTTGAAGTCGAATGAATCGGCTCTCACACCCAAGAGGTATTTTCCCAAACTTAACGAGGCCTACGATGCAATTGAAGATGACACAGAACAACTTTCCCCGTTTGGACGTGACTTCAATTCGCAGATACTTTCAGTGGGTTATGATCGTGGTGCGGTTTACATTCATTCTGTTGATGGCCTTAGCAAACGTACTAATGTGGTTGAGATGTATGCCCTTGTGTGTTCCACTAGTGAACCACTAGATTGCTGTCCCCAGTGTTCATACTCCAGCATTGCCTTTTCTGAGGCAGGTGTGCTGTTGCTACTGACTAATCGTATGCTTGCCGCTGGGTTTGCTGTTGTAACTTACAGTACCTTGTTGGAGGTACGACAAAAGGTGGCGCTCGCAGATGCCCCTCAATGGCCGCTGAATTCCCGTTTCATGGCACTTGCCTCAGGTCCAGGAGACCGTTTAGTCCTTGTGTACGACGTGGTAGCTGCTCCAACTGGTGCTGCGGCAGATGCCAATACTTCCTCTTCTGTTGGCCTGGAGATGCAAGTATTTGCCTCCAGTAGTTTTCCAGAGGCGCAATGGTGCACCTCACTTCAACTTGCCCCTTTTGACCGCACCCTCGCATACTGTTTGTCGCTTCGCAAGGGAAGTGTGATCGACTTTGGCTCGCCAGAGGTATGCCTAACCACCGTTGGAGGTCATGTCACCGTGGAGATTTGGATTAAAATACTTGAGAAAGATGATACCTCTGTGTTATATCAGCATGGTGATCGAAGCACAAGTGGAGAGGTTTTCATAGAGACAACACGACTTGAAGGGGCTTGGCGCATACGTGGTGGGTATCGACATGATTCCCGTGGTATGTGCGTTGTCACAGCTCCTGTTAGCCCGGCTTCTGAGTCTCGTTTTATACACGTTAGTTTGATATTTGATGGAAATTGGCGTCTGTGTCTTGATGACGAAGAGGTTTCATGCACCCGGCAAGGGCCACAAGTATCCTTGGAAAATCCTCGACAGCGATGGACGGCTGGAAATGATTGCATATGTCAAATAGCTGCCTTGCGTGTGTGGAGGGGCGGCCGTTTGCTTCGTGAGATTGTCCGTGACTCGCGTCGCCTATTGTCTGGGGATGAGCCAGGTCTTGTATGCCAATATTTTTTTAATGAACCAAATGGGAATGTTGTTTTTAATCATGTTCGAACAGGTGCGGCACGTGGTCGTCATGCGATTGTTTGGGGGAAGTTTGCGCGTGTCGGATGCTTTGACCATCCTTTCTTGCCCTCACAGCGAGAGAGCAGCGCATTAGGTGGAACTTCCATGCCTGTTACAGCTGAGCCACCCCAGTTGGAGCATACACATGTGTTTTTCAATGGATCCCAAATTGGGCTAATGGAACAACGGACGCAAACCATTCCAGGCTTTGTCGATTGGAAGCATGTACATCAGGTGAGTTTCTTTGACATCAAGACGGGGCGTGAGTTATACGGTTCTTATGTGCTGCGACAGAGAAGTAAGCTGGGATTTCTTGGATGTGACCATCATGGTCAGTATTGGGAATTGTTTCAGACAGGGATGAACCCTGGTCCTCGTGGGGAAGTGCAACAGCAAGTTGTAGCAGTAGGAACGCTTTCAGGTATTTCCGTTGTCGTGCAGGAAAAGGGCGCACTTACGTCTCTTCATGACTCCAATGACGCTAAGTGTGCTACACTTAATGGGACATCAGTATCTGTGGGGTGCAGTGAGGCCTTGTTTGGGACTATGCACAGTGGACTGGTCTCAAGTGGGGGGCAACAACTTCTTAATAGAGACACAGCCAACGTGACGTTTGGGTCCCTTGCGATGTGGTTGCTGGGTCTCCTTTCTACCTTTGCAGAGGCAAGTGGCACCGACTTGGACAATCATCTCTTTAGCCCTCTCCTGGACGATGTGGGGATTCGGTGTGTGCAAGAAGTGCAACAACTTTTATGTGAGCACTGTCGTGCTGTGAAGGCCATGAATGCGCGTCGTTCGGCAAATTTAAAGGACAGTACGTCCTCCAGTGTGATTTACACCATACTGCGAGTGTTAGTGCGGTTGATTCGACGAGTTCGAGACTTCAAGTTGCACCCTGACACCCTTGGCTTCTCTGAGGTCAGCGAAAGCGATGATGTTCACGGGATGCTTCATGAGTTGAACATCGCCCAGCGCAGGCGGAACGCCTCGTGGAAGGAGCACGAGCGATCTGCCGCGTCGACGTTACTCAATGCAACAAACTCAACCGCGGCAACAAAAGCGACTCCAAACGCAGATTCCGTGGAGATCGCGCACACCTTTTCAAGAAAACGCGGAACAAGTCTGCTTGGTGTCCTTGCTGATATCATCAATGAGGCGGGTTTCAATTTACCGATGGATCTGGCTGTACTTGCTCGTATCATCATTCAGGAGGGAGTAACTTTGTTTTTTCCAAGTGCAAATGTGCGAGCAACACTACTGCATGAAATATTAAACTGTGAGCAACAGAACGCATCGCAGTCCCCGGCTCTTAACGTGTTGCTTGATGCCATTGTGAGGAGCTTCACAGACATGACATCCGCTGCGGCTTTGATTCATACGGGGGACTTTAACACACGCAGTGGTCTTATGCATGGGGAAGACAAATCCGCAAGCGTCATAGAGCAAAAACTCCTTGTGATTAAGAAAACCCTCTCCACCTTATTAGCGGAGTCAGCTAAACAGATGACTTCCCGGGTGTCAAATGAATCGCGACAGCAGCAGTTGGGCCTCCTCTCTGTGATGGCCGAGGCCATTGGGACGTTGCAATTGCTGCTTTTTAGTCAATGTGACGGGACCGGAGTGGCCAACATGAGTGGCACTGGAACACGTCGCGGAATCGAAAATATCTTTTTACTTCCTCAGCCGACAGAGCTTTCTTCCGTGCTGAAGGACTACTATGTGGAGTTGTTTAACACTGCCGAAATAATATTTAAACGATTGATTCAGCGCATTCCAGCGGCATCACCCCGACGGTCAACCGCTGCGACGTCGTCAACGACGACAGCAGCAGAAGTAACGATGATCTGTGATATGCTGAGTAGTTCTTTTGTGGGGTTTCCACTACACACAGCCATCACGGCACTACCATTCATGGTAACACGCGATGAATCGGAATGGTTGCTGCGGAAATTGAACTTGCTTCGTGTCCACTATCGTGCCTTATTGCAGTTGTTTCGTGAGAATATTTCGATGAACCTTGGCAAAGTTGGTTTTTGGCCGCTTCCAGCTTTGGATAATGGTTTGCTTCTCGCATCGTCCTGGGTGGCGTCTTTCATGTCGCTTGGCCAGCTTCCTGCAGGGCCGTTGGGAACAAAAACACCGTCTCATGATGCATATAACAACAGTACCACTGCAATTCAAGAGATTTGTGATCATCCTCTCTTGGCGGCCGGTTTGCGTCCGGCAAATAAGGTGGGTAACAATATAGACGTGGGCATCATTGAGAAGTTACAACAACAACGGCCAATATGGGAGGACATTGCAAAACAAGATGATCCACTTGCGTCGAAGACACCAGCGGGATTAGCGGCCGCCATGTCGCTGGCCGCCGTTGCGGTTGTCCACTTGAGTGGTGTGCAGCTTCATCGTCTTTCGGACAAGGAACAGCTTGAGTTGCTTGCAAAAACGCTTCTCCGCTTGAGAAACACGAGGAATGAGCTGCTGAATAAACGCTCCAAAAACCCGAATGACTTTTCACGTAATGTGTGTGATGTGCAGGGTCGATGTCGCTTTTTGTTGCGATTCAGAAAAGTCTCGGAGGCTGAGTTTTTAAAGATGACGTCCACCTTTCTTTCCCAATCCTTCGCTGACAGGGTGCTCGGAGAGAAGCTACCGAGGGGTGGCAGATGGAAGCGGGCAGTATTTCTTTTGCGGGCGCAACGTATGTACCATGAGGCGTTTTTAAATAGCTGGCTACTTCTTCAATTTGATTCTGCCTTGAAACTTGTGGAACGTGTCATCCTCTCCCCAGGATTGACGACAGCTGGTTTGCAGGCGGCGATTCAGACGCGTCAAACAAACGCGCTTCAACGTCTAGATGGACTTTTTCACATGCTGCAACTCTTTGAGACAGATGCCGCATCTGCACTAAAAGTTGCCTCATTACTTTTTAAAGGTTCTGTGGGCTCCCAACGGCAGTTTGAGACCGGCCTCTCTGGCTCTTTGGACTCCACGCGTTGTGCTATTCGTCGGACAATGTATGACATTCTTCGCCGCCTGCGCGATGCCGCAGTAAAATCACGACTTCCAGGGATGGATGATGGCGGCGATCAGGTGGAACAGAGCCCCAAGACGGCAATGCATGGTGGTGCCTCATTCCGCCTTTCTACCCTTAGTGAGGTACTGAACAGAATGTGGTTGCCTTCTGACTTTTGCTACCTGGAGCACCTGCGTGTCGTGAAGGTGATTTTTGAGACTATTTGCAGCATATTCGTGCCAAATGACTTGGGACGCCTGCGCCAGGAGGGGACTACAGAGCGTTCACATAGGCATGACGCTAGGGATGCAAGGAAACAAAACACCACGGCTAGCAGTCCGTCGGGAACTGCGGAGGATGAGGCGAATGAAGTTTCACTGCAACGTACCCCACATGAGTGTGCCTTAATGGAATCTCTTACGACGCTCAAATTCCTGGGTCAACAGGCTGCAAGGGTATTGGGGGATACATCCTTGTCACTCTGTGAACGGCGTGGTTGTACTCTTTTCCTTGATGGGTTGTTTGAAGTATTGGAATTGGAGTTGCACAGGTGCGCCAAGTACACCTCGCAAGCGTGCTGCCCTGCCAATGGCCGTGTGTTGGAGCAGGTAAGCCTTATTTGTACGCTTGCCAGCACTATTGCTCGGAGCCTACCAGAGGGATTTTTTTGCAATAGAGAGACATGTTTTAAGCTTGTCCTTCTGGCATTTCGATTGGGTAACATGGCGAAAATCCTCTTGACAATAATCACGTCCACTGTGGCGGCGACGACAACAACGACAACGGCCACTGCCACAACGACGAGTATTCCCACACTCAAGTTGATGGAGGTTTGCATCAACACAAGCGTGTTGCTTTTGTGTTATTGTCAACCAGCGACCGCCGACCCTCTTTTCGTTGCGGAGGAGACGATGGAAATAACACGTCAAACGGTTTGTATCACACGCGCAGGAGGCGAAACGCTCGGATTTTTTTTAGCGTTTGTGATTCGCTGTGTTGCGACATCTAACGGTGGCCTCAGTGAGATAGGGCTGCGATGCGTCGATGCCTTCCACAGACTTGTGTGCCGACCACCCTGGGATGCGTCGTTTATGACTCTCCGTGAGACGTATCAGTGTGATCTTGGGGCTGTCACCGTGGCGGAAGACGAGGAGGCCGCTCGCTCAAAAAGCATCCGTCTCCTTATGTGGTTGTATTCCATTGGTGGACCACCGACAGTTCCGCTGAGTCTCGGCAAGAAGGTCCAGGTGAGTGCCGATAACATGCTCCCCTCAACGGAGGGCGCATACATCGTCGACTGCTGTACCCAGAAGAACAGTGCAACAGTTATTTCATCAACGTTATACTCACTTGTGGAGGAACGCGAGGTTTTTCTTGACAACCTCATCAGTTCCTCCAATGAGGAGGTGATACTTCCACGGGCGGATGTGCTTTTTCAGTTTCTGATCCCCACACTTGAGTATTTTTTTAAACCACCCTTGAGGCCACATTTTTCACCACTCATTTGGGCTGTTATTGCGGCACTGTTACGCATCACGTGGGCAGTGCTGAAGAATGATCCTGCTGCAAGCCAAGTTCTTCTTGAAGGAGACATTTTGAGTCACGTGGACGCGTTCGCCTTTCGTCTTGCGGCGAAGATACCCCTACCTTTATGTTACCTATATGAAGTATGCCCCACTGTGGTGCAGCAACTGCTGCAGTGCACGCGACCCATTACCTTTGATACAGTTGTTCCCTCTTCTTTGGCTGCTGCGGCCACCACTCCCAACGGTGTGCCAAACGCGCTGTCCTCTGGCGTTTCATACACGCAACCGTTGCCAGGTACGGAGTTTAATTGTGGTACGTCCCTTCCTTCTGTAGTGCCGGTACAGCCGTCAATTTTTGGTGCTAGCACTCTCTTGGGCAACGCGGTGGTGTCTCGAGCTGAAGTGGACGATAACAACAACAGCAGCATCAGTAGCAGTAGCAGTAGCAACAACAACAACGGCAACAGTGGTTTTATGCCTTCGCTTGTTCGACTTCCGCAGGCACACTCCTCCCTTTCCCTCACACCCTCCGTTCTTTGTTTTTGCGGGGACAAAGACGCCCCCGTTGGCACACTCACGATAAAAGCTGCCGGCATCAAGAGTTGCATACCACTCTGGACGGATGGTCTGACTTTGGAGACAAGCGTTCTCCTGTACGAACGACTTTTTCCGGAGCTTGGGGAGGACTTTGTGATCCCAACATTGTGGCAGCGACCTGGCATTCAATTCACGCTCTTTTCACTGTATGAGAAACACCGCTCGAGTGGTGCCGCTGTTATGCGTGTGGTGTTAACAGAGAATAGTATTGATTATATTATGGAAAGCGTAAAGGGGTCAGCCGCAATCGTTTCCACAAAGCTAGTGCGTGAGGATTGGGACCACTGGATTCACATCGCTGTGGTGCTGGAAAGTGGTGCAGTGACACTCTACAAGGATGGGGTTGGCACAACGGCAACGTTGCCCAAATTGGCCGCCTCACGGCTGGAGACGCTTCTTCGTGATGGTGTTGTGGATCGACTCACGATTGGCAACGAGACACCTACTGCCCTGCCCGGCAGCAGAAATGCCAGTAAAAGTTTTGATGGGGCCCGGCTGGCTAGCGTCACTGCCACCACCACCACCACCAATACCAGCAGCAACAACAACAATAAAGACACTCAGGTTTCTGGTGACTGCGCAATGGACGGGGTGATTGTAGCGGTTGAAAGTGTTCGTGTCTGGGGATGTGCGCGTGGGCTTAAGGCTCAACGTACGACTGCCGATTTTGTGGCGCGCGAGCAGACGTTGCCTGTTGTTAGAGTCTCGGATGGCTCTCAGATGACGTTTCGGTTTTCAGAAGCCACCGGCGATGAGACCTTGTCGGAAAACAAGGAAAGTATTGGAACCCTTCACGGGAACGTGCGCTGGGCCCCGTTTCCCATCTTTTCTGGCGCTGTGGATTTGGGAAAGGCTTCTCGAATCGACCCGACAACTCATATGGAACTTCCGCTATTCATTCCGCGGCGAGAGTTTGAGATTTTTTTTGCGGCACTTGATCGCAACCAGATTTTGAGGATTGGCGGCGAATACCTGCAAACACTGTGCGCACATCTTAGTCGACAGTGCGTGGTGGCAGCAATTTGCCAGATGGTGTCGCCTGGTTACCATGTCCTGGTCCTTGAGAAGGGTCGAAAACAGCACAAGAGCATAACACCTACGCGAAAAGGTGGCGATGCTGTAGCATCCGGTGCAGAACTTGTCAACCCACGTCATATCATTGCAAGCAATGAACTTGTGCGGCATCTTATAAATTTATTGCGGTATAGTGATACCGGGGCGGTCAGCGATGAGACGATGCTGGCTGTCGCGAAATTTATCAAGTTATGTTTTGCTTTGATTACTACGGAGAAGCTCATGGCAAACGGTTTTCGCGAAGCCGCAATCGCTATTAGTGAAGCATTGCATGATGAAGCGGAGTCGTTCCGCATGGAACTTCCACCGTTTTCATATGTGACGACTGATATTCAACTGCTGCCTCTCGCCATTCTTAATGGGCCAGGCGGCACTATCTCCTTTGATGCGAACAGTCGTGGTATTGAACACCTGACACTGTTGCGGGACCGTAAACAAAAAGTGCTTCTCGCCAAATACCCTGATGCACAAGGTGGTTGGCCAGAGTTGGAGATCCCAGGAGACAACCCTTGGCTTTACGCCAGGCCCATCGTCAGCACACGGGCTGCCACGGCCTCTTTTACACTCTCAGCCCGATCATTGAAACCGCTTGTAGCTTGTGGAATCTTTGGGGCGATACGTGAGGTTTTAACTTCACAGACTAAATATCAGTGCGGTTGGTCATATTTTTTAAATACACCATATCTCTCATTGTTGACGGTGCGGACAGGGACGACAAAGTGCTCTGCTTTGCCTGCGTGTCGCCTGTTAACGGCCTTGCTTGATTTTTGGCGAGAAATTCCGCATTTTGCTCCGCATGATCACAGTCCGCTGAAGATTGTATTGGCACATCTTAACGTGTCATTGATGGCTATTCTGCACCGTGGACAAATAACACCCAATAGTCCTCCATTACTGTCTCCTGCTCTGGGTCACTACAATCTCCGGGTTCAAGGGGCGTTTGAGCTTCTTGTAGCAGCCATTCGCCTTGAAGCAGCTTGGAAGAATGTTAGTCATCCGTGTTCTACGCGGAGTCGATGGAAGCGTCTGTTTTCGTTGTGGGAAACTTCCATTGGCTATGGCGCCCCTGCTGTGGCTTCTCCTTCGGCAATCATCGCTCAGCAGGATCCCACTGTGGTGGAGCGCGGGTATGTGCGACTCGTGCCCCTCCCCACCTCCGGTTCTTCGGTGCAGCATTGCCCTAAAGCTACAATATTTCAACGCGGCAACGGTGTTTGGTACGCCTCCTGTGATCGCGTTTCTTTCTCGGCTCGGAGCAGCGTTGGATTTAAACGGGGAAGGTTTTACTTTGAGGTTCGTATTCCTGCGAGTGGGGAGGCCATTTCTGTAGGCATTGTCACGGAACGCGCACAACAACACTCTGTCCTGGCTCCCAGAGGTCTTGGTCACGATGGCGATTCATGGGGATTTGAAAGTGTACAAATGTGTCGTTTTTACCACGGGTTTCGTCATGAATTTTCTGTTCGAAGTAAGTGGAAGCCTCTTGATGTCATTGGCATTCTTTTGGACCTTGAGGCTGAAACTCTAGCATGCGTACATGAAGGTCGGCAGGTGAGTATGTTTGATAATTTAAGAGCCAGTCGCAGTAAAGATACGATGACGTGTTTCTTTCCTGCAGTCTCGTTTGGCACAGGCGGAGTGGATGTCAACTTTGGTGCAGCACCGTTTGCCTGTAGCTTACCTGTGGGTTACCTCCCAGTGGACCCGTCTAACTACGTGGTGTCTCCCACATCTAAGCTTTGGATCCTTCTCACCGCGGTTGAGGTTGGGGAAACCCTTTCCAGAAGCAGCAGCAAAATCAATATGAATAAAGAGGGTCACATTAAAGCAGCCCACAAGGACGACGCTTTTTTTACCAAGGATGAGACTCTTCGTTTACCGAGTCTTTTTGAAAGAGCCAATGATGCTGGAATGGTATATCAAGCAGGTCGCAGCGGTCCTTACAGTGTGAGCCTTCTGCCTAGTGATAATAAAACGAGGACGGTAACGGTGCAAGGGAGTGAGGTTCGTGCAGGAGATGATCCGTGTTTTGTACGAGGTAGCGTTTGCGTCCGGCAAGGGCGCTGGTACTACGAAGTAGCGCTTCGTGGTGAGGCCTTGATTAGTGTCGGTTGGGTCACTTCTACCGCAACCCCAGATTGGTCTCGCACTAAGTCACTGGGAGATGATAACGAGTCATGGGTGCTTGAAGGGAGCCGAACGACGGCACGACACAACAAACATCAGCGCAGCGTAGGTGGACTGATGTGGAAGCATGGAGACATTGTAGGTTGCATGGTGGACTGCGATGCCGGCACAATTGCCTACAGTGTCAACGGCACACCACTTCGAGAGATGCATGACACCAACGGCGACGGCGTACTTTTTTCTTCCGTGAATTGTGTAAATGGAATTATGCCGGTAGTCAGCGTGGGCCCAAAAAATGCGGCATCCATTTTGTTCTTCGACGAGGAGTTGTCGTTCCGTCCTCGCGGTTACCGTGCACTTAGTACAGCAAATCCCATACGTACGGCAGTTGAGCAGCATTACTGTACCGATAGTCTTGAGCATAACGATAACGGGCAAGAAGTGATTGGACCGGCATTTTCGCCTACATTGGCTCGGTCTCTGCTGTCCTCCTTAACGTCCTTGACGGAGTTGAACTTTATGAACGCCTCAGCGTACTGTCTGGAGGATGTTCTTAATAAGGATAGTAGTAACATCCGTTATGAGAAGTTTAAAGGACGTGAAAGTGCCTTGCGTCTACTAGTCACCCTTCAAAATCTTTCCAGTTTAACCGAATGCATGATTCCATACGCTCATGCAGCTCTTAGTTATGGAAAATACGATACTCTTCTTTCAGGCCCTATTTGCCGTTCTCTTTGGCAGTGTCGTGAGTATCTGTTGCCGGTTGTGGTGTTGAGGATTCTCCAGGGTTTTTTTTTGCATACAAATTGCTTGGGAGAAAACATCAAACTGACACTAAATAGAAGGAAAGCACTGTCGCTCGTAAATGATCTCGACGTCCCCGTTTCCGAGCGTCTGCGTGGAAGCCTCTTTGGGCAGGTATATCACCTTCTACATGACAAGAATGTTTCCCTCTTTTGCACCAGTAGGAACTTATGGTCAGTGAATTTTGTTGGGGAAGGTGCTGACGATATTGGGGGACCGTACCGCGAGAGTATCACACAGCTTTGCTCAGAACTTATGAGTTCAGGTCTTCCGCTCTTTGTGCCAAGCCCCAATCAAGTCCATGACATCGGAGATGCACGTGAACTTTTTGTGGTTCGTCCAGTAATGGAGCCGCCTGTACGCCTCAGCATGTATCAGTTTTTTGGTCGGCTTGTTGCGGGTTGTTTGCGCAGCTCCGAGCCACTTCCTATTTATCTTCCTAGTTGTATTTGGAAGGCATTAGTGGGGAGCCCCGTTGATGAGGGTGATCTTCGCGTGGTGGATCAGATCTCCGTTCAATCTTACCACTACATCCGTCAGCTGATGTCGTCAAGGCAAGGCGAAGTGACTGACGATGAGATTGCGGAACTTTGTCCTGGAGGATTTTCTCTTGTAGACGATGCAGGGGTGGAGCAGGAACTGTTTCCCGGCGGTAAAGAAATATCTGTGGGTCGACACAATGTGGAGATGTTTCTTGACATGGCGTTACGGTTTAAGCTACACCATATGGGCGCGATGCAAATTAAGGCCATCGCGGAGGGGTTTCATCAGGTGGTGCCTGTTTCTGCGGTGTCACTGTTGAAGTGGTACGAACTTGAGCATGTGGTTTGTGGCCAGCCAGACTATGACGCGGATGCGCTCATTGACGCCGCTCGCTATGAAAATCTTGATCTAAATGATGTCACTGTACAATATCTTCGGCAGGTGCTACGACAGTTTTCCCGCCATGAACGCGCGCTTTTTATGCGTTTTGTCAGCGGCAGAGAAAGGCTCCCGTCGGGGGTGCGGTTAAAACTGATGCCGGATGCTCATTCGCGTTCGATACAAAGCGAGACTTCAGGCAACACCGATGCTGAGAGCAATGCTAATGATACGGATGGTGGTGGTGATGGTGGTGGCAAATCCTCTGTTGACGTGTTTGATGACAATCGACTACCTCACGCCTCGACTTGCTTTTACTGGCTCTCTATTCCTAGATACAGCTCGGTGGAGGTGATGCGGGAGAGACTGTTGTTTGCCATTCAGCAGTGCCTCGATATTGACGCGGATTTTGTGGTGCACGAGAATGGCAATCCAGAGGATGAGATGGAGCCTACGATGGCCGTCAATGCGGATGAGGACGAGGAGGAATTTGAGGATTTCTCTCATCTGCGTTAGGTTGAGCCTTTTATTCTAGTTTCCAGTTTACGCGTATTTTCTCCTTCTTTCTTTGTGTATGTATGTAAAAATACGCCCAGAAGTTTACACGCCGGGTTGTGACCGTTTTTTTTTTGTTTATTTCCTTACCTTATCTCACGTCTCTTATGCGTGTGTTATATCTCTTTGGCGCTCTGTTCCTTGTGACGAATTTATTGTAGTTTTTCTTTCTTTTTGCCATTACACGTACGACAAACGAGGATGAGGAGTGGGTGAGGGGAGGTATCTTTTTTGCCAGATGATTGTGAGACTTTTCTCATTGTGTACGTTGGTGGCATTGGGTGTGCACCTTTTGTAGTGCTTCCCTCACTCTTATTTTCTCGTTTTTCCAGTCTTCTCTCCTTGCTTTTCTTTACCCATCAAGGCGATTTATTATTATAGTTTGCTTGTTGTTTGCTTGAATGGCCTACCAGCCGCCGTACGCCCATCCGTATCCACCGGGGTTTGGTTACTCCGTGCCACCACCAATGCAGCCACCACCAATGCAGCCACCATCAATGCAGCCACCATCAATGCAGCCACCATCAATGCAGCCACCATCAATGCAGCCACCATCAATGCAGCCACCATCAATGCAGCCACCACCAATGCAGCCACCATCAATGCAGCCGATTCAACGTCCTCCGCTCGGCACGGAGCAGGATGCGTTGCAGTGGTTTCAAATGGTGAGTCGGTCGAGTGGGGGTCGTATTGGTGTTCCAACGCTCAATTCCGCCCTGAGCGTGGGCGGGCATAGTTTCAGTTACGCGACCACGGAGCGTCTCCTTTCCATGTTTGACTCTAATGTTGACGGAATGCTTAATTTAACAGATTTCCTGGAATTTCAGCGTTACTTTCAAACAATGCGGGATGCTTTTAACTATCGTGACACAAGTCGCAGCAGTCGTCTAGAAGGGGATGAGGTGCGTGCGGCGCTTTCTGCTCATGCATACCAGATATCTGATGAAGTATTTCAGTATTTGATGCGGCGTTTTGATCGTAGAAAGCAGGGAGCTCTTGGTCTGGATGACTACATTGAAATGTCTCTTTTTGTCGCCAAGGCCAATGATGTTTTCCAAGCTGAGTCTCAAGGGAAAGCCACTGCAACATTCGACTTTGGTACATTTCTTAAGGCAGGGGTTTTTCTGGTTTGAGGGAGTAAAGTCGGTGGGAACGTGTCGTGTGCATCACGAAGCGGCAATGCTGAAATTTCAAAGAGGTATATAGGAAAAGAAAAAGGAAACAATGTGCTGACGCTGCTTGAACAAGGTGGGGTCTCTTGTCAAGCTGTGAACTTCTCTCACTTATTTTTTAGGTGCTTGTTTTTGTTATTGTAGAGACGTGTAGGAAGAATGTGCAGCCAGGCGAGGTTCAGTTCACGAGTGAGTGTCTTGATTGAGCCGCTTACACCCCCCCCCCCCCCCCCCCCCCTTTTTTTTTTTTCCCACTGCGTTTTTACGTATTGATTTGGTGTCTTTAGAATGATATCGGGTTGGAGGGCGGTGCACGTGCAGTTTGTTCTTCTTCTGTTCCTTCCCACCGCAACCCTTATGGTACTACCGCTACTAATACTAATGTAAATAACCCTCACGCGGAAGATGGCCGGAAATTGCGGGGGCCTTACAAGCTTACAATTTGTCTGTTCGAAACGAGAGCCCAGTACGCATAGAAATACGATATGGATCTTGCCATTTACCTTTTTTGCAAGCCATAATTAAATAATATTTGAATTGGAATGGTGGCCGCAATGGGTCAAACTGTGATATGCTTTAGTATTGTTGTTCTTTGTTTTTGCTTCTCCTTATCTCCATATAACGGCAGTCGTTGAATTCGTTTTCTTCCCATATAATTTCTTTCTGTCTTTCCTTTTTTATGTCTCTGCGTCCTTCCTCACTATTGCCTTTATCGTCCACTGCTTCTCTCTCTCTCTCTCGCCTTTCCCAAATGCGGCGAAATGAAGTTACAGCTGCAGTAATAAGAGTATGAAAAACGAAAAAGTGAGGCCGAGATCGTCCTATAGCTGTCACTTGGGTGCACCCACGACGTTGCCCCGCAGCTTTTCTGCAGCGCAAGCAAGCTTGCGCTGCCAGAGCGCAACAAATTCATCAGTCCCCAGGGGGCGAATGGGACGAAATGTATCCTTCATTGGTCTCTCGCGGAGGACTCTACGACCTTCGTATGTTGAAGGGCCAGTGACAGAAACCCGTCGGCCGTCCGTTGACCGCCTGATAGAGTATCATCTCGCACATAGGCCGTCACGGCAATCATGTGTTGATGGTGCATCGGTAGTTAACCAACAGCCACCCAACGTCCGCATTTCAAGGCATCTTCTTCCACATGAAATTTTAACGCTTGATTCGGTCAGGTTTGGACTTTCCATTCGGGGATCCGTAACGTTGTGGAGGTTACTGCTGCCGTTAGAACGGGCCAATTATCCGTTCAATGTACATGAACGTCGAAAACCATTTATCCCAGGGGATGCCGTTTCGGTTCAGATGGGGCAGGCCTCCATGAAAATTTTTTTTGCTCGTACTGAAGACATAGTTCCGCCAAGCACCGGAAAGTTGAGCAAGACAAGTGTACTGAATGTGGTGAATAATGAAGTGATTGGAGAGGTAAAGTACACGTACGTATATCGTATTGAGTCGGCGGCACTCACTACGGGTGCACAACCTTTTATGATACGCCTTAGTGGCGCCGTGGGGTTTATGCTGCAACTATGCTTTGGTGACCGTTCGCTTTGCTCTGCCTTTGTGAAGTTGCTGATGCCCCACTGCCCTGGACACACCACAATTGCTGCTGAGGCGGATGTTTTTTCTTCCCCACCTTCTTTCTCGACCTTTGAGAACCAGCAGCATAGCTTGTCTCCTGCTCCACTAAATAGGTTTTCTGCAGGTTGAACTTCAAACGGAATTCGCATTTTTTTATGGAACTATGATGATGCCGACAGCTAAAACACCCCTTTTTCTCTTTTACGGGCTTTCTTCTTACTGTTTCATGTTTTTTTTTATTTTTCCACTCGGTTGTGTTGCCCATTGTTGCTCATTTCTTCTTTGTCTGAGTTGGATACTCACGCAAAGAATATTGGTGACAAGGACCTGTTTACCAATTTTTCTTTGTGCAATGCCTTGGTGTTACTTTTTTGTATTGTTTTCATTAGTTTCGTGTCGGTGGACTATGAAAGGGTAGTTATTGGGCTTCAGGGTAGTGGTGGGTTGGTCACGTCTTGGATCTGGCTCGCTGCGGGGTTCTGGGATGTCGTGGGGAAAGGGAAGGACCAAAAGGGGCTGTCTATTCGTATGTAACATGCGGGTGTAAGGTTTGAAGCTTTTATTGTTGTCGTCCTTTTTGGGTCTTGATCGAGCTGCAGCCCTCGCAGAATATGTTTTGTGTGGATTTGCCGGGTTTTTTTTTTCTGCTGTCTTCTCCCTTATTCCTTTTTTTTCCGGCCTGTGTGTGTTGTGTGTGTATGTGTGTGAATGCGTTTTGTTTTTTTCACCATCTTCTCTCCGACTGACTTCTTTTTGTGGGGATCCAAATGTGATTTTCTGTCGTAGTTTAGATCTTGTTTTTTTTTTTTTTTAAACTTTTTAGCGTATCCACCTCCGAGTATGATTGTCTGCTGTGCCTCGTTGTATGACGAGCGTTACATCTGTGAACATGGTGAGGTGCGTGGGAGAGTCAAGAGAGCTCTCCGTGTCTCTTTTTTTTTTTGGTTTGGCTGTTGCCTTTTGTATGCATGCAAGCATATTTCTTAGTTTACTTCTGCACCTCCCCATGTCCTCTTTTCTTCCCTCCTCTTTTTTTTTCTCCTTTTTGATGTGGACGCACGGATGACTTCCCTAGCCCATCAGCAGTAATGAACAAGCCAGCAGGGCATCTTTTCCGCGTCGATGCATCTCTGAAGGAATATTTTGACGTGTGCAACGATGACGATAGCAGTGCGGAGGAATTTGACGATGAGAGCGATCAGGACTCACCAAACTACTGGCGATCATCACGCCTCTCCCCGCTCAGGGGGAAGGCGCGACTAAGTTTGCGCCAGCGCAGCTCCGTTCAGCACGCACTGATGAGTCAGAAAGCTGCCTCTCGTCGGGGTCGTGATGCGGCGGAAGTGGCATCCGTATTTGCGAGGCCATTGAGCGCCACTGTCGACATGAACGACGGAACGACGGAGGGTGCAACGGGGACGTTAGCTAACATCATGCAAGAGAACACTGCCGAGTGCCTTTTCTTTGACGCCCTCTGTGCGTTTCGTCAGTCCCCTAATGAAAGCTTTGAGGTGACGCTCGCCCACCAAGGCGGGGGACCGCCGGTTTGGTCGCTACGAAAAGGAATCACCGCGGCTGAGACGTGGGAGACGATCTCTTTTTGTTTGCGTTCGCTTATTGAGGCACTTCTCGTTGGGGCCAATGATGTCGCACGGGCTCAGTGGTTACTGCAGTTACTAGGGGTATCTTTGTCCCGGGAAAATGCAGGTGTCATGGCAGATGCCTTTATCGACTATGCTCAAACCTGCACAGGGGAGGAGGGTTTACTTCTTGCAGCGCACCTAGTCTTGTGCCGCTTTGCCTCCGTAGTACGCCGATTGATGCAGAGGATAACGAGTTGGGCAATTCAGATGCAGGAAAAGTGTGCTGCTGCCAACCTTCAAAAGTTTTTAAGGCCTATTTTGCACAAGAGTATTGAGAAGGTACTGTTGCCTTTACGTCGTTGTATTCATTTGCTGGAGCGTTCTTGTAGCCTGACGAATGGGTGCTCTCTCACTGGGGGCTCTGGTGTGAAGACGGAGGTGAACACCGTGACCCGCGCGTCTGCTCTTATGGACCATCTCATTGTTTGCATGAGTGCCCTGCAGGACAGCAACACGATGAATCTTTATCGTTTCTACATGGTTCTTTTGATATATTGTAGTTGGCCCTACGTGCTCCTTATGACGTCAGCCATCTTTGGTTTTGTGACGGATGTTGACGCGGATGCGTGGCGCTCGAATGTCCCACGAATCTTTCGTTTGTCATTTTCTCACATTCGAGTTGGCGACTACAGCAGGAGTGACCGCAAGATAGTGACGCTGCCCACTGATATTCTTTCACTTGTGCTGCTATGCGTCGGGTACGAGCGGGTTGAGGTGGACGGGCCCTGCAGTGACGAAGGCGGGAAACGGAGGCGCGGCATAAGCCGTGCGAGACGACGTGCGGCATTCGCATCGATGTTGTCATCTCGGAGTTTTATCCTTCGTAGTTTTGTGGCCTTTGCACGACAAAAAGAACTTGTCGGCTGGACTCGCAAGCGATGCGCCGATGGCCGTCCCACACTTCCAGGGTCTTCCACGGGCGATGAATGGCTGAGATTCACGCAACGGGGAGAAGAAACAACGGACCACTCCCCTTCCACCCCCGCTGCTTTGCCGCTTGCGCTCTGCAGCGACGGCGAGAGCGGATTCACACCGTCATGTTTCGAATCTCTCATGTTGATGCTACAAGTGGAAGATACGAAGACTTATCACGATTTACTACTACGTGATGCTGCGACAGAGGTAACTGACTCGCCACTGCGGCTCTGGCTTCACACGTCTTTGCCGGCTGCCAGGTGGGTGACGGCGAGCTTCTTGGTTCCCATCGGACAGGTCGTACAGCGCTTACAAGAGCGACGATTGGCAGAACTGCTCTCAACCAACGTGGCACGGGACCGTGTGGGGTACCATGCGACCAACTTCGAGAACAATGACGATGCCTATGATGAAGATGATGAACTTCCTGTTATTGAATTTTCTGGACACTCATCCACGGGAAATGGAGAGAGCACCACCATCTCTTTACGACGCGGTGGCCCCCTGCCAGCAGGTAGTGCAGGTGGTAGTGGTGTTGGAAGGACTGCAGGTGAGGAGGCATTAACGCCATACGGTGTTACATTTCGGGACGCCGTGAGTTTACTCATTGATGTTGCGCTTTGTCGTGATAGTGAGCGTATTGTATACACGTTTTTGCATCGTCTGTTCGTTGAGCCGCACTGGTGGTACCGACGCGACGCGGTGAGTTACAAGTACACGGGTACTGCCTCAAGTTTTATTTCCGCCGCCTTTGCAGATGCCATTTGCGGAAAGGCATTCGCTCAGTTTGTTCGGCTCTCGGTGGCACCAAAGTCCGAAGACGATCTTGTGCCGACCACTGGCGACGATTGTGCGCTTGAACTGCTTCGAACGTTTGCCTCCTTTGAGCTTCACTTCTCCTTTCCGTGGGACATTGAGCTCATTCTGCTCCCTTTGAGCCTCTCCGTTTTGTGGGGGGACGCAGGCACAGTTCAGGAGAAATACGCATCCTACTTTTGGAAGAATCGATGTCTTGGTGAGGCAACAAAAGTTAGGAAGGAGTGTGTGGAGGAGATGCCCGCGGCAGCAGGAGCACAAGATGAACAGGGGAGGCAAGTACGGCAACTGTCTGATGAACACGGAGCGAAGGTGCGGGATAGCTGGAGCTACTGTTTTGGGTATCTGTGCTCCTTGCACTATGCCCAGATCTCTCTTCGGGAGCAGCGGAAGTGGCTGCAGCAGCGGGATATTGTCTCGCATAAACTTATGTCTGGGCTTGGCAGCTCACCGCAGGGAGGAAACCACACAGTGCGCCTTACTCGCGGGCTTGGCAGCGCGTACTTTGAGCTTTCTTTTGCAGTGGATTCTCTTCTAAGTTTTACGCAGAACATTGCGGGTGGTGTAGCCCGGGAGTTGGAGGGGGAACTGACCAAATTGGGTGCGGTGAACTCTTGCATAGAGCTATGCCAGCGCGTTGACGCCCTTCTTCTTCGCCTAGGATCTGTGTGTTTTCCAGTTGTGCCGCTGCTGGAGGACGCGGTTCCATTGACAGACTTTCTTTCTGTCCGTGAAAGTATTGCAGCGGTGCTCACAATTGCGTTAAACCCAACCACCCTGCCGCTGAGGCACATCACATCTAGAACGCAGAATGCGATTGAGGCACTTGTAGCCGTGGTGCGTGCTCTGCCCGCGACGTCTGTACTGAAGGAAAAGATTAGTCCGTTGCTGGTTCTGTTGACATTTAATCGCTTCTACGGCGAATGAGGCGAACACGCCAGAACGGTTTATGTGATTGTTACAGTTTTACTGGAAGTGTTTTGAAGTGTCTGTGGGTGTTGCGGGTGGCACCTGCTGCAGCTTCGCCGGGTGGCTGCTGTCGCCGTTTTCCTCATCGTACCGCTGCTACGATCACCAATACCCGAAGAGGCGAATTAAAAACAGTCAACAAAAACACAACGTGAATCACACATTTTGCTTTCTCTGTTACTTTGTCTTGTTGATTGCAGTTATTTTTTTTTTTTTTTTCTATGTATGTGTCTGTGTCGGTGTGTTTGTGGAAACCAAAGAGTGAGAGATAAACCCACGATCAAGGGAACATCCTGATCAGTACAACAAACGAGGAAAAAGGGAAACACAGAGAGTGAGAGGGACCGGCGGAGGAGGAATACAAAACAAAAGGGGGGAAAAACCATAAGAAGTGGACAGTAGGCAAAAAGCCGGGTGCAGTACGTTATGCGGCGAGAGCAGGTTTCAACGGCGGAGGAACTGTTACCCCATGTGCCACCCGCTCCCACTAAACCACGAAAGAGCCTTTTTGGTAGGCAGCTGCTAAGTACACTGAAGCTAGGTATCTTGCTACGAATTCGTTCCCCCATCAGTTGCATTGTAGAGCTTCTCATCCCCATCATCTTTATTATTGGCAGTGTCATATTGTCGCGGGCAATAAAAGATGGACACCATAAAGGTGAGGACTTTGTGAGCTACCCTGCAACTAAGCTTGCACTTACACAACAGTCTGAAGTTCTTTCTTCACTGTGTTACAACATTACGATGAGCGGGGAGGCTATTGCTGGCCTGAAATCTTGTGCAGCCAAAGGGGGTGAAGTGCATTGCTTTGGAACTGCTGAAGGCCTGCCACTTGACGGGATATGTATCCAGACGAATAAAACACCAATAATGTTTGGAATGATGGCCTTTCGCGTGCTCTCAAGCTACGGTTATAGTTTGATGCCTGTTCCCTCCTTCGATGAGATTGTAAAGATGCAATGGATGGCAAAGTGTTTCTTGGGATTGCTCGGTTCAGCGCGACTCCCTGGCAGCATTGATCACTCTGGCTGGCTTTACGTCTCCCCCAGGAATGCCTACACGGAATCGTTGGTGTCGCATTTAAATGAAACTACGTCACTCTTCAAGTATGTGTTTGCCCGATATTTTGACGCCATTGACGAAGCCAACGAGCACCTGCATAATCCCAAGGATTCTGTGGGAAATTGGGGTGTGATTCATGTTGAAAGTGCCTCTGTTGACCTGGCAAACCCACATCTTAACGTTGTGATTCGCCTCAACGCCAGTGCGCTTCCAAGTACCTCAAGTGCAGTGTCTCGTGTTTACGCTGGTGGAAAAACTCAGCATGCTTCGATGTATCTTCTTTCGGGTTTCCTCACGTTACAGAAGGAGGTATATAATCATTTTATTTCAAAAAAAATGCGATTGAAAGAAGTGCCAGTTCCGTTTCTTGCACTAATGGGAACAGTGGACTACACCGATAGGACATTTTTAATAATTGCGGGCAACATGGTCCCTCTTTTGATGGTGCTTGGATTTTTGTATCCTGTGTCACAAGCCACTAAACGGATTGTGTTGGACAAGGAATTACGAATGAAGGAGGCTCTACTCGTCATGGGGTTGCAGCAGAGAGTTCAATACATTGCGTGGTTCATTCTCGTTACGGCGCAGTACGTCCTTGTGTCACTCGTATGTGCCATTCTACTGAAGACCACATATTTGAGCAATTCGAACTTTGGAGTCATTTTTTTCCTCTTCTTCTTCTTTTCCTTGACGACCATCACCTTGTCTGGACTTATTGCCTCATTCTTTTCCAAATCACGGATTTCGTCTATGATGGCCCCAGTCATTTACTTTTTGTTAGCAGCCCCGTTTTTTGCCATTGGAAATGTCAGCAGCAAGGTCATATACGTGCTTTGTCTCTTGTCCCCGTCAGCCTTTTCGAGAGGGCTTATGCTGTTGTTTAACCACGAGATATCTCTCGGATTCCTCAGAAAAGATTTCAACAGTGCCTTTGACGAACCAAATATGTTTTTCGTCTTCATCATCTTGATTGTGGACTTGTTTCTTTACCTTGTGATCATGCTCTACCTGGATGCCGTGATACCAAATGACTGGGGAACCCCGAGACATCCACTCTTCTGCATTCTTGAGCCCATTTCCCGTCTTTGCAGACGAAAGTGGGAGTGTAATAGCGACGTGGACGGTCGTAATCCGGATGGCGTCTTTGAACCACAATCAGAGGAGGGATTAGCGAGGACAACTGTGAAAATTATTGGCCTGACGAAAAAATTCCGGAGAGGGTCTGAGGAGTTCCTTGCAGTGAATCACATGCACTGGGGTCTCGTTGAAGGAGAAATCTCCGTCTTACTAGGTCACAACGGTGCCGGGAAGTCCACCACGATGAACATGATGACAGGAATGCTTAAGCCCGATGGGGGAGACTGTTACATTTACGGTCATTCCATCCGTAAGGATTTGCGTGGGGCAAGACAAGAAATTGGTTTCTGCCCTCAGCATAACATTTTGTGGCCAGATCTCACCTGCCGTGAACACCTTGAATACTTTTCTAGCATCAAGGGGCTGACGGGAGATGCTCAGAAGGAAGCCATTGAGGCGGTGCTCAACGGTGTGGATCTGCAGGAAAAATGTAACTACACCTCCTCAGAGCTGTCCGGGGGACAAAAGCGAAAACTTTCTGTTGCCATCGCATTTGTTGGCAATAGTCGTCTTATTTTTCTTGATGAACCCACAGCAGGCATGGATGTGGCTGCCCGACGTCACATGTGGGATCTCCTGCGAAAGATGGCTAGGTCTCGCACGATTCTTCTAAGCACACATTTCATGGATGAGGCAGATTTGCTTGGCGACCAAATTACGATTATGAGTAAAGGATCCCTGCAGTGCAGGGGTAGCAGCGTCTTTCTAAAGGCAAATCTTGGTGTGGGGTACAATATCACGCTTTCTGTAACAAGTGTCTCTAATCCACATGAGATTGGGGTTCTTATTCGTTCTCATGTTCCGTCTGCGGAATTGTTAAGACACAGTGCGGGAGAAATGTCCTACCGATTACCCATGTCCTACGTGAGGTGTTTTTCCGCAATGCTCCGTGATGTTGAGACGCTGGGTAGCAGGTACGGCGTGCAGAACTACACACTTTCGGCAACAACCTTGGAAGAAATTTTCCTTCATATTGCTCATGGGGAAGGAATACAAGCGAATTCAGCGGTAGAGAGGCCGCAGAAACGTCAGATTGGAACTCTTGCTGAAGCAAGACCAAAAGCAAACAAAGACGAAAACCCTGCCGAGGAGTCTCTTGCTGTGGACACTCAGATTGCAACTAACTCCAACCCACCCACGAATACGGTTAAAGAGAACTCTCTGCAAGGAATGACGTCGCAGTTTCATTCCAGCTGGGACACACAACTTTTTGAATCAGAGTCCAAACTCATGTTGTCTCAGCTCAAAGTTTCCTTGCTGAAACGCTATCTCAATGCCATACGTGATCGTCGTACGCAATTGGTTCAAATTGTCTTCCCAATCCTTATGATTGTTGTTGCTTTGCTTCTCAACAAGGTGAACTTCATCAATCATCCGTCGCTGACACTTTCTTCGGACATGTATAATGAACATGTTCAGATTGACGTGGCCAACTGCAAGGACACCATCGATACGTCCATGCCTTTTTCCAAGTCTGCGTCGCTTGTTGTTCATGATGGTATTGCGGATACCAAGGAATTTTCCTCATATCTTATCAAAAGCTACAATACACATGCGCTGAACCGGTATACGGGTATAAACTGTGGCGATCCTGTCTACAAAGGCACCACAGCTCTCTTTGCTAACGCATCAGCTTTACATGCTGCCGCTGTGGGTATGGTTGGATTTTATGGTGCGGTTTTGCATAAGGCAATACCTACTTTATCTGCGCTACATACGGAAGACATTTTACAAGTGCATAACTTCCCCATGCTTCGAACAAAACATGAAGACGCATTTCGCAATATGATGAAAGCGGTACTCATGAGTATTTTGATTATGATCCCATTTTCGTTTATCCCCTCGACCTTTGTGTCCTTTGTGGTGAAGGAACGAGAATGTAAGGCTCGTCATTTGCAAAACGTCTCAGGGATGCGGTTCTCCATCTATTGGTTGTCCAACTACATCTTTGACCTTTGCTGCTACCTTATTACGATGATATTGGTTATTATAGTCATGCTGATGTTTCAGAGAGATGAATACATTTCAGACACAACATTTGGCCCTACATTTATTCTGCTTCTGATGTACGGGTTATCATGCATCGCCATGTCATATGCGGTGTCATTTTTGTTTAAGGAGCACTCCTCGGCGCAGAATGTTGTACTAATGGTCAATTTTATTACTGGATTTTTCTTGGTACTGCTGGGGATCATCCTTATCATGTTGCCAGACACGCAGAAGGCAGGCGAGGGACTCAAGTGGCTGTTCCGTATCTTCCCTAGCTACTGTATTGGCGAGGGCATTGTGAACTTGGCATCGTTGCCGGGTCAACAAGGCATGAGCGACACCATCATTTCACCGTGGAGTCTCAATGTGGTCGGATTCCCCATTATCTACATGGCGCTTGAAATACCACTTTTCATACTAATTACACTCTTTTTGGATCATCCAGCACGTCGCATGCGCACAGAAATGATGTTCCATCGAACAGACACTGAGGAGGAGCTGATCTCGGATGAAGATGATGATGTGACGATGGAGCGTTGTCGTATCGCTAATGAGAATAGCGATGCGTCAGAGGATCTTGTTCGGGTAGTCAACCTGCGCAAGGTGTACAGCAATGGTAAAGTTGCCGTACGCAATTTAAGCTTTGGGGTACACCCTGGGGAGGTGTTTGGATTTCTTGGCACCAACGGTGCTGGTAAGACGACGACGATTGCCATTTTATGCCAAGAAATGGTCCCAACCAGTGGACGGGCATTCGTCTGTGGTAAAGACACCGTAGAAAACCCACGTGAAGCGTTGCATTACATTGGATACTGTCCACAGTTTGACGCATTGCTGGATCTTTTAACGGTGGAGGAGCATCTGCAGCTGTACGCTGGCATTCGTGGTGTGATGAAATGCGATCGAAAGCTGGTGGTTGCTGAGTTGATGCAGCTGTTCGAACTCAGCACCTACCACAAGACACGTGCTGGGCAACTTAGCGGTGGTAACAGGCGCAAACTTTCTGTCGCTCTTGCCCTTATTGGTGGTCCACGTGCCGTTTTTCTTGACGAGCCTTCGGCTGGCATGGATCCTGTTGCGCGGCGTGGGCTTTGGACGGCCATTCAAAGCATCCCGAAGTCCTGCTCCGTCGTGTTAACAACACATCATTTGGAGGAGGTGGAGGCATTGGCGCATCGCGTCGCCATCATGGCGAACGGCAGTTTACGCTGTCTGGGGACCAAAACGCATTTGAAGCAGAAGTATGGAAGCGGATATGAAGTGACAATTCGCACGGGGGAAACTGTTTGGCAACCCATGGTGGAAAAGTTTTTTTCAAGGTATTTCCCAACTGCTGCACTCAACGAGGTGCGGGGAAATCGTTACACGTACGCGTTGCCGACTACCATGTCTCTTTCTGAGGCCTTTGGCGTGCTGGAAACGCACGGGGGAGAAATCTGCATTGCCGACTACGCCGTGTCTCAGACAAGCATTGAACAGGTGTTTCTCCGCATCAGTGAACAGACGGAGCAGGAAGCGGTTACAAGTGTTACGCCAGAGTAAATGCAGCGGTAAACCATGTTGGATCGTCTGCAACTGATGTAAGTGAAGTGAATCGGTAAATAATGTGTGTAGTATATGTGTGGAGGAAAACTAGCTGAAAAGTGAAAGTGTTCCTGTGGAAGGTGCTTCTGCGTCTGAGTGTAAACATGGAGGCGTAGAACTATTTTTTTTTTAAGGCGTTTTTCTTTCCTACGCTTAGTATTTATTTTATTTATTTATATGCGTCCTCTCCCCTTAGTTGTCTTCTCTGCTTTTTTGACCTTTTTCATTATTTTCATTAAAGCTGCCATGCCCACCGCAGACACATGATAAAAAATAATAATAATAATAATAATAATAACGATTGGGCTCACGTAACGGATTACTTTCTTTAGGCAAAAAAAAATAATTAGGCAGAAGCGAAAGATGATTTGGGAATAAAGAATACTTTGACTCAAGGCTGGCCAAATTATTCGATTTCTATTATTATTAATTTTTCGACTTGGTTAGTGCATGCAATAGAGCTCTCTAGTTGCAGCCATCCGTCTACCCTCCTTGACCTTGTGTTTGGTGGTGTGTTGCTTTTTGAGTTTTTACCTTTGTGTTGTTTTAGCTATTTCTTACTCCCCTCTTACTGTCTCTCTGGGGGAGGATAGGGGGTGCCCTTCATGTCACTGGACAGTCCCACACCGCGGAAACCTTAGCTGTGTGACGGAAAGGTGAAGTCTAAAAACAGAGCGATAAGTCACAAAAAAAAAACAGGGGAGCTGTGGTAACTCGTAAGGAGCGGACAGGTCAGAAGACACTTCTACAGTAGTCGGCGAAGAAGCAAGGAGAGAAGGAGTTTTGGCAATAATGTACAATGCTGTTTTTGGTTTGAAGAGTGACGGTGACGGGAGTGATGACAAGGTAGATGGAGTTGTTCTGCTGCGAAACGATGCCTCGGAATTCACCCCTGCCGAACTTGAGGCATTATGCCGGCTAAGGCTGAGTGATGATCCGGCACCCAGTGCGAGCAGCAGCACCATCGGCGGGTGTAGCGCTCACGCTGGCGCGGGCAAGAGTGGGAAGGGGAGGAGTACAAGAAGAATATTTTCCCTTTTGAGGGACGACCGTCAGTCTCGTTGCAGCTCCTTCAGGACTCTGCTTCTCCGTGAGGAGCTAGTGGGCGGCACTGACAGTATGGCTGACGCAGTGCTCAGTACGTCTCAGCTGCACGTGGAGGGTCGTGAGCTGCGTGATACTTCACTCGTGGAGTGTTTTCTGAATCTAACACATCTATACATACAACACAACCACATCACGTCGCTCGATGGTCTATCCTTGCTGGTTCAACTCACCGTTCTTGTGCTGCACCATAACGACGTGGTGTCTCTACGACCACTGGCAGATCTCGGTGCATTACGCTTTATTGATGCCCGTTTTAACTCCATCTCAACGTTGGACCCGTCGGAGGATCTTCCACGGGATTCGTTGCGGTATCTTTCACTTCTGTCCAACCCATGCTGTCGTAGCGAGTCCGCGTTGACCGCGGAACGAGATGCATACAGACAGAGTATTCTGGAATGCTGCCCGCATCTTGAGATGCTTGACGATCTACCGTGCCAAACACCTACACCCTCCAGTGACGAAGCTGAAGATAAGAGTGTGGAAGAAGGTAAAACAGAAGATGAGGAGGAGTTGTCTCCAGAAAGGGAAACAACGCCGACTCGGCCGATATCGTCCAATGTTCAGGGGCGTCGTAGTTGTCTTCGCTCACGACTCAGTCATATGGTGAAGATGGGTCGAACACCACTTCAGAAGTCACCGTTGCCGTCCTCCGATTCGGGGAATGCGACCGAAACGAACGATTTTACAACGGCTGCTCGTTTGTGTCAACAATTTGAGCATCGCTCGGGGAGTGTACTAAGGCGGGCATGTGATTATGCGTTTAAAATACCGTGCTTAGCTCAAGCGGGTTGGGTTGGCGACGATGTCGGGAACAATGCTCACGATGGTGATGAGGGAGATGATTTGCTGCCGCTTCCGTTAGTGCAAGAAAGGGAGACAAAGTCACGGCTTTACGCTGACATTCACTTTGCCTTGGATATGGGCAATGTGCGGGCGCAGCAGGTGATGGAAAATGTATGGGAAGATGTGGACAAGGTGCTCCGCACGAGGCAGGCGCTTGTGAGTCATCGCCGGGAGCGAATGGAGTTGCAGCGACAACGGCCCTCTGACGCCTATGCTGAAAGTCTAGCGTTGCTGCAGAAAGAACAGCACACGACGGATTTGGATAAATACCGCAGCTGAGGCAATATGGGCTGCGGTAACTTGTCGTTAGCGTTCAACATTGCTGCTGCTGTTGGTGATGGTGCGCAGTTCCTGTCAAGTTCCAAAGAGACGCTTCTTGTGGGTTGTTGCGTTTTTCGTCTACTGTTTTGCCATTTTAATACTCCTGCTAATATATATATATATATATTCTTTCTTCCTTGCTTTGCTCCTCGCCTCTTTCTTGAACGACGACTGCGTGTTAGCAGAGCTCCCCCCCTTTTTCCCTCAGAAAATACAGCAAGGGCGTGGCGTACAGGCGGGAAGAGTAGGGGCAATAAGGCACATAGACAAGAGCGAAGCGCAAATATTGATTGCGCACAAATCACACGCGCCTCCACTTCAAAACAGGGAGGCACACGTTGGCATTGTTTTTGCTTTTTTTTTTAGTTGCTCTTTTTTTTTTTCCATTTGTTTGCTGCCTGAGAAAGGGGCTGCTTGGCTATGGGGTCGAAGAGTATTCCTAATGGACTTTGTAAGGATATCTACCAGGAGATCCCACGGGGATGCCAAGAAAAAATTTCCCTTTTGAGCAGGGAGGAAGTCGAGGCTATTCTGCACATGTATGATGACAGTACGGCGGGTGATGAGGGGATGGGTGAAGTAACACATAGTGCAGCAGCTACGGTGGCCTCAGGTGTGACGGGCCAAACAAATCGTCTTCAAGTACGCTTAGCGGGGCTACCAATGTTTCTGCAGACAGAGGCGCTTGTTCTCCGGCGTCACGAGCAACAGTACAGGCAGTATATGAAGGAGCTCATTGAGATATCAGAGTGTATAATCATGGTGTGCGATGGAACCCTACGGGAGCGGTTGCCCAACGCGGCGTCGCACATCGCGGAGGATTCACTGGCGGCTCGTCGCGCGAAGGATGCCGCTCTGAGGCGAATGTCACGCCGTGCCGAAGAAGTTGAAATATGTGCTCGTAAAGAGGCAGTCGAACGTGTGCGTAGTGCGCAACGAATGGTGTTGGCGGCTGCCGTCGCGAGGCACCGGAAGAGGGAAAGGAGAGAGGCGGGACATGAAGACGTCGATGAGGCATTGGACACGCGCAGACGGCGCATGTGAGTGAAAAAAAATGACTAGAGGAAGTCGGGGAAGAGGGGCCTGGCGTGTGGAGCCGAGATGTGTGGCCGGGAAAAGCAGAAGACATGCGAGGGGTTGAATGTTGAATGAACAAATGTTGTCGGTGAGGCGGCGGGAGGCAATGCTGCAGAAAAAAGGGTATATATATATATATATATATATATATGCACACACACGTATCTAAGATCTATGTGGTGTGTGTAGTTTGCACTTGTTCTTTGCCGCTCAGTGTCATATGTGCGTACACTCCGTGCTGTCTTTCTTTCTCTTTATCTCCGTTGTCATTGCAATTTACACCTTCTAGGATTGCGCTTAGCGGCATATCATCCTTTTTTCTCCCTCCCCCCCTTCCTCTCCCCCCTATACCCCCACCACGCACACTTTTTCGTTTTGCCCCTGCCCTCCGTCACTGTCCCAGTGTGCATCCATCGCGCAAAACGTGAGGAAGGACCTTTGGGTACGGAATAAGTGCTACACACCACGAAGGAAGAGCTGCGAGGGCGGGAAGGAAAAGGAAGGGGTAGGCGACGAAGGGGTAAAAGGGAAAAAATAAAGGGAATAACTGCCCCTGAAACAATATGGCGTATGCCCTTCAGCCGTCGTCGTATGACACCGAGGAACCGTCGCCGTTGAATATCATCTTGAAAGTACGAAGATCGCCGAATCAAGCGGCTCACACGTCACACGACGTCCCTTACCACTCACAACACACCCTGGATCATGTCGTTGGAGTGGAACCAGCCCCCAAGCCATCACAATTGCGGATTACAACGAATCCACCACGCAGTAATAGCATTTCCCAAGTCACGGTTGGGTGCAGCGTTGTATCCGTGGGCTCTGGGTTGCTTGATCAGCAACGGCCTCCACAGCCCTTACTCCGTATTGGGGTTGCTACTGAAGATACCGAAAAAATGCGGGATAGAATGCCTAACTCTAATGACAACTCTCAATGCATCCCACTCGATGCGAGGCACGGTCTCGTGCACCCCCCCGCAAACGTTTCAGGCACCAAAACATGGGCAAACAGACCATATCTTAGTCTGACGGTGGCACCTCAACTTGATGAATCATCCGATCCAAAACCCAGTGGGAGTTCTCTTGATAGATCTGGACTGTTTTCAGATCCTGGAGTCGCTCGTGAAAACAGCGGAATTCAAACGGCACAGCAGCAGTCGGACATGACGGCATCGCCATCAGCACCACAATATTTGCGGCAAACATCGGTTCAAAATAATCGCTTTAAGTATGTGAAATATCCTATGCGGGGACTGACTTCAAACATGAGTTCTTTTTACGGTGCAGAACAAATTGGACAGATGCCGAATGGAGTAGTAGGAGGCGGAGGAGGAAACTGGTCTTGCAGGGCACCAGAGCCTCAAATGTACGGTAGTAATTTTTCTGGCCCAGGATATAATTCGTCGTCACCGCATTTGTCGCATCAGCAACCATACCCCAGTCGTTACCCGCAACGACAACCACAACGGCAGCAGCAGCAAATGCTTCCTTGTTCCTACTGTAATCCTCAACAAGAGCCTCAAGGTTGGTGTATGGAGAATGACACTAGGTATGGATACAACGAACCCAACAACTTTGTTGTGCCGCCCAGTATCCCTAACTATTCTGGGGGTGGTGGTAGCAACATACCGATGATGCAACCGTACAACAACAACTCGCAATACCCTACACCACCGCCGCCTATGCAGCAATGGTCCAATGGAGCGGGGCAGCCTCCGATGAGTGGTATATCACCGATGGAGTCTGGGCTACAGCGAACGCCTTTGTCTTATTCGATGACTACCAATGATGGCCTCGCGCGTTGCCCACCATCAGTACATGTAGCCAGAATTGGTGTTCCTTCAAATTTACCACTATCTTCAGGCGCGAAATATGGCGGGATGTCAGCCAATTGGCGGACACATTCACGATACCCCAATAATCCACAGCAACAGTCACAACAGCGTCCGGTACCACCAGATTACCGGTTTGATGTGGGCGGCAGTTCACCAGGACCATACCCGCATCCAGCATTACCAGGACGTCGCCCAGACCAACCTGATAGTTTAGGTAATGACCATTTCTACGGGAATCCCCAGATGAATCATGAATTTGCTCCACATCAGACAACACAAAATACAACAAATTATCCACATCAACCTGGATGAAAATAGCTTAGCAGTCCATCCTTTGTGACTTCTGGAAGCCGACATGTAGCACCTCCTGCGGGCGGGATTACTGATGAACCGTCAAAGTATCCCTAGATGTATGTGTCTGGTCAAAGTTCCCTTTCTCCTTCTTTATTACCATGAACACATACAACCAATACGCCGATTTTTTTTTGTTCTTATTTTATGCTTCATCCAAGTAAAATGTTTGCTGGCATCTCACTTGCACTCTTTTTGTTGTACTCAACATCTGAAGAATTTGAGTGCCAGAGGAGTACAATGCATTTTTTCCAAAACAAAATATTGGGAATGTACAAATATCAAATGGACTCTTGCAAGATACCGGTTTAAGGTTGTGGGGGTTACGTTGATATATATATATATATATATATTCTTCCGTGGTTGTTACAAACAACACCGACATGGATGGGCACGATTGCCTGATGCTTCACCTTTTTTCACACCGGCCCGTGGAGGAGTCCAGGGAAGATGCCGTGGTGAACGACGGTCTCGCCGTCAAAGACAAAGGCAGCTTCAACCAACAGCTTCTTTGAGGATTGAGAAGGAGGTGAAGTTGTCAAAGGTGAATAAATATGATTGCTCCTAAACGAAGTGACATAGGAACACAAATGAATCGAAGAGGATAATTTGGGTAGGAGTGAGTGGTGGAATGTGGGGGCGTAGGGGGGTCCGACTACTACCGTGTCGGGATGAATGAGTGGAAAAACGAAGCAAGATATGGGTTTTTTTTTTTCTTGTCTGTGTGGATGGAGAGGGAGTTTCAATGTTTACTGTATATGTATGTATGTATAGATATATACATATATACATATACACATATACACATATACATATACACATATACATATAGATATATTCTATATGTGTTACCATTGCCGGCATTATTATTATTATTATTATTATTATTATTATTATTATTTTGCTCTGTTTTGTTTTTGGGCCATTACTAGTTGTTCCGCGTACGTTCTACCGGGGCAGCGTACGAGAGGAGGGTGTGGAGCCTGACATTAAATAGTGAATAAAACAAGGGGCTGTGACGTGGTGACAGTGCAACGGACATAAGAGGGGGGTGCACGGCGCTGAGCGTCACATATGAGCAACGAGGGGGCTTGCAAAGTGGGGGTGAGAGAGGGAGAGAGAGAGTGGCGGAAGAGAAGACACCACAAAACAGGCACAAACAAAAAAAAAGGCAGGAAAATAAGACTATTACATGACGAGAAAGTTGAATGCGAATAAATAGAAAAAAAAACGAAAAGAAAACACGAATGGAATCTGTGAGACGCAGCAAGTGAAGGAAATAGATAGTGATGATCAATAAATAACAGCAGCAAAAAGAAGAAGAGGTGAAATGTGTGAGTTGTGTCTTTGAGATATTTACAGATAATTGTATGTGTCTCTCTGTGAGGCGCTAAATTTTAGGCTGATTATTGTCAGGGAATTATTCTTTCTGGGTGGGTGTGGGTGTGTTGTTCGTGTTGAATTCCCTCCTGCACATTTGGTGACAGTTTCTTGTGTGTGGGCCGCCCAGGCCGCATTAAACAGAGTAAAGAGAGGTGAGTGGAGGGAGAGATGATGACTGATGGTGGCAGGACTGTGGGGAAAATAGCAACACTAACAATACAATATATATATATATAGTGTAACAAACAAAAAGCAGTAAGTTGAAGTTTTTTATTTATTGCGCATGAGTGAGTTGTCCCTAGTGAGTATTTTCACCGACGCAGACGCAGGGGATGTGCACAGGAGTCACCAGATACATGGGACATTTAGGAAGAAAGGAACAGGTGCTGGAGTGATGCACAGGATCAAGACGACGCATAGAATGGGGGGATGGAGAGAACGGTAGGAATTGAGTGGCAGTAGCTGCCTAGGGAAGAGGGAGGGGATATATACAGAGGCCGAAATGGAAGAGCAGCATGCCCCAAATGCTTCGAACTCTTGCAATTCCTTCTGTGAAAGGGAGAAGAGAAAAGAAACAAGCTTTTTTTTTTTTGAGGAGATGAATACGATACACTTGCCTCAGAAATTTGCCTACCTTTTTCCCCCCTCTTCCCTCCTCCTTACACCCCCCCACCCCCCTCCTCCTCCTTTTTTTTATCAGTTCTATTTCTAGTGCAGTTAATATCGTGAACTAACATTGTCTCTTTCCATTTGACGCTAGTCCGTGATGAGTTCTCACACCCCACCCCGGCTCCACTTCATTATTCACGCGTTATAATAGTAATTATTATTATACCAGATTATTGTTTTTTTTTCACAAGTGGTTGTGCGTGTATATGTTAGTCGAGTAGCTGTGTCTGTGGAGGGTGTGTCTGCCTGCGGTGGGAAGCGGGGTCCGTGGATCCTATTCTGGGGAGGGGACTGGTACTTATTAAAGACGATTTTCGTGCAACGTTGGTGATTCTCGTATCTCTTTTTCTCTTGCTGCACGCATGTACACAATCACAGTCTCTTTTTCTCTTGAGTTCTGGCCCAAGGACATGTGAATGAACAAACACAGTGGAGAAAAAAGGGAGAGGAGGGGAACATAACGTGCAGCAAGGGCGAGACACTAAGACATTTCACTCAGGAACGAGTTGGAGCATTGAAAGGAATGCGTGGGAAACAGCAGGATGGGGGCGGGGGGAAGGGAAAAAAGTTGGCGGGCTAAGAGGTTAGCACTCACGTCTTTTAAGGGAATGGGGGGATAGAAGAAATAATAATGAAAATTGAGGATTAAGATGATGTAATGGAGAAGCATGGATGAAAAAGGTGGTCGCTTTGCATGAAGTATGTCGCAGTTATATATGACTTTTTGTGGGGTTTGACTTTGCACGAATTACTCCTGAATTCAGTTGCCACCTTCAGTTCTGGTTTTGTTTAGTATTCAGTCATAACTGCTTTTGTGATTTCATTTGTTAATTTGGTACACATGCGTGTGACGAGTCTGATCATTTAGCGTCCGTATTCCTTGTGCCGTTTGTATGTTGGATTTCATCGTTTCACTTATGTTTTTACCCTTGTTATTATTTTTACTACCCTCCCCCCGCCCCCTCCCCCCTGACTCCTCTATTCCTTGCTATGGGTATCTCTGAGGCTATTGACATTTTTATTTGAATGCATATTGCATACATATACATATATACATATATATTTATATATTAACCGTGAGATAATTTGTCGTTGATATTGCTTATGTATGTATACTTCTTCTTGTGAATAGCAGCAGATGCATAATGTGCATGCATCCGTGTCCCCTCCCTCCTCCTCCTCCTCCTCCTCCTCCTCCTCCTCCTCCTCCTCCTCCTCCTCCTCCTCCTATCTCTTTGGATGTGATTTTCACCGTTGTTTGAACTTTCTCAGTCCCCGTATGCCTCGTGCCATATTTTATTCTTGCATCTATTTTAGAGGCAATTGCTGTTGGGGCGCGCGCTTTTTTGCAGTGTCCGCACCGGTAAATACCACACTTGAAACTACACATTCGCCTGTCTCGTGTGCGGATGTTTTTTTTTTGTTGGTATTTTTTTTTTTTTTACGGCTTGCCTTTGCCATTGACTGCTACTTGTGGACCCTATACTAGGGATATTGCGTGGAAAATGGATCAAGTGAAAGAATGAGTTTTCACTGCCGCGCATTTTCTGACCGTTCGTTGCTCTGACGTTGGCTAACATGAAGACAACGATTGAAGAAGACTGGAGGACGGGTAGATTAATTGCGGTTGGCAACAGAGGGGTAACAAAGAAATAGAAGAATAAAAAATAAGCTGAAGAACCAATCTTCAGGAGGAATGAATGAGGAGGAGAGCTTGCAGTGAAAAGACAAGAAAATAAGCTATGTATATTAATGAGCTAGGTGTGTGTGTGTGTGTGACTGTGCCTCCTCCTCCTCCTCCTCCATGTCTTTGGTTTTTTTTTGTGAAATGTCTGTGCCTTCGTGCGTTGAGATCACTGTTCTTTTGGCTGCGTTGCGTGCCGGTTTCCATTAAATTGTATATTTGTGTATGCGCGGCTATTTGGATTCCTTTGAGACAGTCATTTTTTTTTTGGCTTTATTTTTGATATATATATATATATATATATTATATGTATATATAATATACATATGAATTTTTTCGTCTTTAGGTGCTAACTCTCTCTCTCTCTCTCTCAGTCATACTATGTATGGTTGTGTGACTGCGCCTCATTACCTTAGTCACCGTTGCTCATTGCCATTTTTGTGCATCTGGAGCTTGTAAGTTGTGGTAGGAGTGGAACGATTAGCGTGAGTTGGAAATACGACCGCGCTGTTCTCTGCTGCTTTACTTTGGTCTGCAGTGGGCGCTTTTTTTTTTCTGTTTTCCGCTGTTTCTTTTTATTATTTCTCCCGACTAGTTCATTGGGTGAGCATTGGGCTGCATTGGCGGAACTATTCACGTCACATACTACCACGTCTACATCCTCGCAGCTCAATACGTGGCCTTGATTCTCATTTATTCGTGCTGCACTCCCAACGCAACTCCGTTGGGGGAGGTACGGAGCAGCGTAAGTGGGGTTGACCGAGGCGGGGGAATGGTGTTGTAAGGTGGGACGCAACACAGCACACGCGTACTCAGGATATATCCAAGGCGCACGAGAAGGGGAGGCTAATTCTCATGTGGTCAATACGAAATGCATTTCCACTGACAGCTTTTCGTGAGGCTGGATGCGCTCCGCTTGCCTCGACACCGTCAGATGACCTCCGATCTTCAACTGAAAAGGTAGAGGAGTCGAAGATTAACTTTATCACGTCACTTGCATACACGCTTATTCCAGAGGTAGCGAGAGAAGAGGCTGAGGCGATTTTTTCATGGGCTCTGAGGGATGCAAGTGGCGGTGACAGAAATGAACGCCTTTCGGAGGCACTTAACCAGATCGAGTACTTCTTTGCGGGGACCAACAATGGCCAGTTGTGTATGTTTCCTCTTTTTCCACCCGCCATGCGTCCGTTCTTGACGACTCCAGCTGGAGGAGCAATCGAGTCTGTTCCATGGAACGCTGGACCCCGACGCATTTTGCATCGACATCGACACGAGGAATCGGTGATGTCAATTACAAACTTGGGCACCTTAGTGGCTTCCTCAGGCTCGGATGCTTACGTGCATGTGAGTATCTTTCATCCAGTGCCACGACACGTTGTTTCTATCCCGCATCCGATGGCGGTGCATTACCTGTTAATGTGGGAAGGCGCTTTGTTTCTGGAGAGGGAGACAAACCTACAGCGGAGATCGGCAATAGCCATGGTGGAAAGTTCAATTGTATACATTTTTACTGGCGATGAAAGTGGTTTGGTTCGTCTGTGGCGAGTGAACATTGAGGATTGCACTTACTTTCTTGCGACCGTATTTGTTATTTCTGCCCACGCTGGGGGCATTGGCTTTGCCTCACCGCTGCATTATCTCGCCTGCGAGGATGGAGACCGTACGAGGGTCCCAACAAAGCAATCGAAAGTAATTTACTCTCTCGCCATTGATGGTGATCGACGTCTTTTAGCTGGGGTGGAGGGGGGAGTCGTCGTGTGGTCACTTGCAGCATTGCCATGGAAGCAGCGGGAGGAGGACCATATCTTGTGCTGGGACATTGAGCGACTGCAAATGAACACCATTGCGCCGTCGACGCTTCAGTTTAGAGCGAGGAGATTGGCAAACGTGAGTGTGTGGGTTAAGGGAGCCGCTTTTTTGCAAAAAAACATCTGCAGCGAGAAGGGGGAGGGACATGAGCCGAACGGCAATAATGCTCACGTGAAGGGGATCCAGAAATCAAAGTGGAAACCTAAGTATGGTACACATGTTGCAAACGGTTTTGATGTGGGCGTGGTGAGCAACTTGTTAACATTGCCTCCTTTGCAGGAAAACAATGAGAGTCCGAGACATCACTTCTGCAGACTACGTATGCACCTTTGCATTTTTCGTCGCTCAAAAATACAGTTTATTTCCCTCTCTATGCAGTGGAACCCGTGTTCACCCCACTGCATATTCTATCCACAACAGGCAGTACGTGTTTTGCGCTTCTTGTTTTACAACATGAGAGGCGCGTTGTAACAGGGGGCTCAGACGGTAAAGTAGTGGTGTGGCTGTGGGACGCCTCCGCTGAAGTGTACGTACAAGGAATTGCTTCAAGTGATGGCCAGGGACACCAAGGACGGTGTCGCAACATTTGTCTCCTTCGCTCCCCAGACATATTTCTCTCCTGTGGTTATGATGATGGTCTGATAAAGGAGTGGCATGTGTACGATGAACCGGAGTTTCTTATGCGTAGCGAGCGAAGCCTCCGAGTTCTCCCCGCCAACTCGGATGCCCTCCCATCCTACTTATCCTCCCCAGTGGTGGAGGGGTGCGTGGGAGGGATTTCCTGTGCATTTTCCTTTCCGGTGTTTCACGCGCTGTTTACTGTTGGTCTGTTTGAGAACAGCATTCAGACCTATAGTCTGATGGAAGTGCAAGGGTGTGCCCTCCCAGAGGACTACATTTATAACGGTTACAAGACGGTGCGGCTGACATTATCTGCAGCCTCGTATGTTTCTCGCGCTGCTGGTTGTGGTGGTGGGTGCTTGGAAGGAGGGAATCATGCCGCTATCTGAACTCACACGTAATGTTTTTGCCAGGATTTTTTTTTTGTATTATTGTTGTTTTTATTTTTGCAACTACTACATGCAAAATGGTCCGCAGTAAGAATAAGGTGCGTTTGGCGACCCGTGCTGCCTCTGCCTGGCTGCATGAAAGGATGTTTTTTGCAAAGTTTTCTCATATATATATATATATGTACTCTCATTTCCTTTGTATCTCAGTTTTTTTTTTTTGTTACTTTCTTCTTGTTTAGTCTCTTGTCGCGCGTCTCTTGCTGTTCGTCAAAGGCCCATGTCTGGTGCTGCACCACAGGACGTGACGGAAATTTTAGCCGGTGTATCTACCCTGTATGAGGCACTCGAATCGATGTGCGTGAGAAATGGCGATAAGTATATGGAAATCATGAAAATACTTCCCAAGCGCGACGCTGATCATCAGACTGAGGCGCTATTGCGGGAAATTTCTCGTCTGGTGCCTTCGGAGCCATTTGTGGCTGTATTTGGTAAAACGAGAGCGCCTGCCATGCTGTTTTTTGCACCTACACTCTTGTTGAAAGCAGCAACGCTGCTGGCGTCCCCACAGGGTGATATTGACACCTCTGGCGAGGAGTGGTGCGCCATCAGTAGCTTTCTCCTGGCGACACAGAGTGATCTGCTCGCCTCGCCGGGGCAGCGGGTGGTGCGAGTTGTGGCACTTCCGGATCCTCCACACATGCCCTCGATTAAGCACACACGTGCATGGTCATCAATTCTCAAAAAACCCCTTTTAGAGGATGTGGTGCCACTCCCACCTTATGCTTCTCATTTAAAAGATGTGCTAGACGCGGCCAACTTTGGGTGTGCGATGTACTTTATCATCTGTGGACTTGTGCACTTGTTGCAGGTTATTTTGACAGCCCCAAAACGCATTGTTTGTGGTTCAGGGACGCTGGGATTATGTAGGGAAATAGTGCGCTTATTGCTGTCACCAACTGTCTTAATTTATGGTTCAAAAGAGATAAATATCCAGGTAGCCAGCGCCTCTCTGCTTGTTGCAGTAAGAGGTGCGCTTGACATGCGAGAGGCCGTTGGCGAAATGCGACAGGAACTACTAATAGAGCAGTGGATCATCTCTATCCGATGTTGGTTTGATTTGGCCACTCAGTCTGGTAACGCCGCATGTATGCAGTTCCTGTTTCCCTACATGCTTTCTTGGGACATTTTATTAAATGACTGACAAAAGTGGGCGTGAGGTTCCGCAGCATTCTGTGGGATGCATTCTTTTTTTTTTTTCTGGTGTTTGCTGCGGTTGTGTAAGAGCGATATGTTGAGTGTACATGCAGTTCCGCCATGCGTGTGGGTGTATGTATGCCTATTTCTTTTCTATACAGCGACTTTATTGCTATTACTGGCGTCCTTCACTTCCTGCATTGGGGTGGGGACGGGGTAGGGAGTGTGTGGGGTGAGAAAGTGGCAATTCGAAGGGGGACGAGGGTGTGTGTGATTGAGGTCCCACAGCACTCACTCTGCCCCTCTTTATAGTTTCCGACAGTTTTGTGGGAAATTAAAGCGACAGACGAAAACAACAACAACAACCACAATTTTTCTTCTGCTGCGTCTGTTCACGTCTTCCTTGTATTAATGTTGGTATACATGGCTTTTCTAGATAAATATATATGGTGTTTATCTTGTTTTATGGGCTTTGTTGCTGCCGTGCGGCTGCGTGTATCTGTGGGTGGCGCTCTGTCCTATTTTCTGCGTCTGCCCAATAGGGTGATTGAGGGAGCAATATATATATAGCCTGATTGAAGGGTGTATATCAAACATTGCTCGCACAAGCGTATATATTTACATAAAAGGAATACGCGAAAAAAAGTCACATACACAAGGCAATAGAGCAATCGAGAGTCCCCCCGTCTTGCACGAGGCTTACTAGGAACGTAAGGTACAACAATAACAACAAAAAAGAACACATATTTTTGTTTCTGCTCAAATATATATATATATATATATAATATTCTTGCTTGCGTTTTAATGATTGCACGACACTCAGTCTTTGTCTTGCACCTTGCAGTGTGGGCGTCGCTGGCGGCGGGTATTGCTCTAGCCGGGGAGGACACGAATGTTTACCGTGAGGGCGAGAAGGTGCGGGTGTATGGAAACAAGATTGGTCCACTGCACAATGCATTCGAGACATATGATTTGTTTCGCGCCCCTGGATGCCCCCCGGCCAGCTGGGAGCAACGAGCGCCGACGTTGGGTCAGGCGCTCGTGGGTGACGAGTTCTATGAGTTAAACGTATCCGTCAACTATGGCGTCAATGTTAAGCTGGGCGTTATTTGTCAGTTTGTGCCCTCTGAGGAAGAACTGGCCCGTTGGCGTGAGATGATCTTGGCTGGCTACGCATATCAGCTCTTAGTCGACGAGTTGCCGCTGTGGGCGGCGTTCGGGAAGGTGATCAACACGGCACCGATGATTTACACGCATCGTGCCTTTCACCTTGGTACAAATGGACCACGGCTTGTCAATGTCACGCTAGAAACGGCAGGTCCTGAGGAACTTCGTGCAGGCAAGAAGTACGTCTTTACGTATTCCACGCATTTTACTGCATCGAGCATCAACTTTGAAGATCGTTTTGCGAAGTACATGGATGAAGAACTAATTGGGCCACAGATTCGGTGGTTCGCCATCGCCAACTCCTTGTTGTTGGCTATGTTTCTTGTGATTGTCGTTTTGGTGATTCTCTCTCGTGTGATTCGCACGGACTACCAACGTATCGAGCACGAACTTCGTTTGCGGGATGAAGGGACCGACGAGCTTGTCGACAGCACAGGCTGGAAACAACTATACGCAGACATTCACCGTGTGCCTTCCTATACATCGCTCTTGTGTGCTTTAATAGGTACTGGGGTGCAACTCTCTGTGGTGTTTGTGTTTGGAGTCGCATTCGCGGCATACTTTAGTATGCGGAGGATCTCCTTGCAACATGCTGTTACCGTTGTAGCTATGCTCTATGCTTTAACTGGTGTGGTGGCAGGATGTGTGTCCTCAGTGCAGTTTTTGCGGTACGCGACGTTGAGTCCGGCACTTTCCAAGAAATGGATGCGTTGTATGGAGTTTACAATGTCAGTGTTTCCACTCTTTCTTGTGTTGTGTGGGGCAATTACGAATATTGTGGCACATATCTACGAGTCTGCGCTGGCGGTGCACCTTGGCGGCGTAACACTCATTGTAGCACTTCTTCTTATTGGGTATTGCCCCTCTGTGGTGGCAGGAACTCTCCTGGGACGCTACGGGTATCGGCGACATGTACTTATTCCACGTAGTCACCGTAATTTGCCGCATGTAAATCAGATTCCACGACTTATACCACCGCCACCAAATTTTTTGCTGTCGACCAAGGTGTTTGTCTTCCTTTGTGGCTTAATGCCCTTTGGTTCAATTGCATTTGAACTTGGTCTCGTGCTGAACTCCCTGTGGCTAAACAAGCTATATTACTTTTACACGTTTTTATTACTAACGTTTGCTGTATTCGTGATAGTTACGTCGTGTGTCTCCATCACCGCGACATACGTCCTGCTTAACATAGAGAACCATCACTGGCCATGGATGTCGTTTGGCTTTGGTGCATCTAGTGGATTTTATGTCTACCTCTACTCCATTTACTTTTACGTCTACCGCACCACCATGAGTGGGCTTTTTACACTTGTCTTTTACCTTGTTTACGCAGCCACGCTGTCGGCGGCCATTGGACTTATGGGTGGCGCCATTGCGTTCCTCACAGCATCGTTGTTTGTCAAAAAGATGTACGCCTTTGTGAAGTCTGACTAAGAAGTGCGGCTTATGTGGGTGAACCAGGTAGAAAACAATTCGCAGGAGGCGTCCTCGGGCAATCCGGCCGTGACGTCCTGAGGGAGTGAGAGCGAGAAGCGTCGTGAGTGCTTGTGCCGCAAAGCGGGAAAGTCAAAAACGACAACAACAGAAAGGAGACAAAAAAAAAAAGAATTGTATATTCTTTAAAAAGAATGATACGAGGATAATGTGGGTGCCGAGACGTGATGTGTGGAGGCCGTTTTGGTCGAAGCATCCCCGATCCTGCACAACGCCTCTGGAAGAGGCTTTCGCAGCAATGACGGACCCTCTTTTTTCCTTTTGTTCTGCGTGCTGTTGTGTCGGTCTGTGCGTGTGTCATTGCGGTCACTGTTTCCGTTGTTGGTGGCGTATACGTGTTCCTTCCCCCTTTCCGCTTTATGTGTGTCTTGTGGAACTCTACTGGACGCCGTTTCTTTTGTTGTTGCTTTTTTTTTGTCACTTTTCTCCAAACACACAATGAACTCAAAGAAGCAGAAGGCCTCGGCGAGGGAGGACGGAGTGCGGTGCGTACACACGCACACACACACACACACCGACAGACGGTTGCTTCTACGCATCTCTTTCAAATGAAGTTCGGCGTGAGAGACCAGCGGGTCGCGGCCGAAAGCGACGACGAGGTTGTGGCCACCTACAACGTTTATGCGTCACCTTTGCTGCAGCACCAACTGCACATCTTTCAGTTCCCAATGAGGCGTAAAATACGGCCATATGAAGCAGATGATGTGCAACTCTTTGCGACAGAGGGAGTCGCCAATGTCGGAAAAGACGCCGCATTGCCGTCTTTATCCTCTGCTACGCCTTGTGCCTTAGGGGCAACAGCAACAACGACGGCGGCAGAGGCGACATCCTCAGTGTCTATTTTGTCTCCCTCATCAAGGCTGACGATGCACTGCCGCCTTGACACGTTTGGTTCCAGCTCCTTCGTGGAACCACCACAGCAGCATCAGCAGCAGCAGCAGATGCCGCAGGCGGACGATGGACTACGCAAGGGTGATCAGCGGCGGAGACACTCCTACCACTACGCGCTGCAGTCTCATCCCTTCCAGCCTCGTTGTGATTATGCAGTCGGGTTTATTGTCGATGGAGCAATTCATCTTACGCCCGCCAGTACCATTCAACAGTTCACACCTATTGTCAAACCAACGACGTTTAACGCTGCCCATTGCGTGTGTGAGGGATTTACAAGTGTGCTATCTATGCCGATTGTTCCCGGCCTTGCTATTTCCGACCGCGTCAATCGCGAGATGTTGCGCCAGCGCAGCGTCATGTTGAACACGGACGCAGCGACGGCGAGGGAGTTGCAGTACTTCCCCATTGGCTCCGTGGAAAGTATGGCCATGCGTCGTCGGTTGTGGTCATCCACCTATGAAGTTTCCTCCATCCTCCACACTGCGGGGGGTCAGCGACCAAGCGCGCGCACGGAGGACAGCCTGTTCCCACCAGAACTTCTCATTTCAGGTGGAATCTCCGGTGGTGAAGATGCGGCTGCTGTTGGAACCTTACTGCGACGCTACGCGCACCGTTACGGTGTGTTGGACCAAGTCCTGGTGCTGCTGCAGCGTTGTCAGGTCTTGACACTTGCGGAGCTGCGTGTGTTGGTGGTTCCGCCGGATCGCACTCTCGTTGCATCACCCCTCACGTCACGTCAACAGCAGCACGACGGTGTGACAGATAAACAACTTCTGGAGGCACTGAGGGAGGGCGCCGTGTGGATTCACGGGGTGTGGGTGTCAAAGACGGCCTCTCGCTTTAAAGGCACCGTCGCCGCCCTGCGTGAGGTGATTCTTCTGCATTTCTTTGAAAGCAGTGATGCATCCTTGGCCAGAGCCAAGCTGAACAAGATTGTGAATGGCGCCGCATTGCGAAGGAATGTGAAGGAGATATTAGAAAGCATTGCAGTGCTGAATAGCGATGAGCCTGACCCTACCCAGCGGATGTGGCGCTTAAGGCACGTTCCAGCTGACACGGATCTACGGGAGGCCATGTTGCAGGCTGCGCAAAACGCCTACCCGCAGGAGGTCACATTTCAACGCATGCAGTGGGAGAAATTTAAGCCCTATATCATGGCTCACATAAATGTGATTAACGCCGGCATGCCGGTGTCCCGACTGCTTTTGGCGACACCAAGACATGAGACAGGTGTGGAGGCAACCAACTTAACTGGTGCGGCGGTGGCAGCGGCAAGTGGGGCTTCTTCTTCCTTCAAAGATGATGAGCTCGCACCGATCTTGGCGTACATTCGACGCCTCTTTCTAGAGCACGGCGTGCTGAACAAGCAGCGGGCGAAGGAGTTAGTCATGAAGGGCAGACAACAGCATTACCCAGACGCGACGAACCCAATGCTGAGTGCAGCTCTGCAGAGGTGTGTGCAAACATTTACAAATGCCACTTGGGTGCTGAAAGTACTTGGCGAACCAAAGGTTGATCGCTACAGACCGTTGATTCTTGAGACAGCAGTGGAGCTTGTGAATTTTGAGACACGCGCCTTCCATGCATTGCTTGAGGAAAAGCGACAGCGACAGTTGGCGGGTGAGGGGGAAGAAGCTGGTGGAAATGATGTGGAAAGTGAGGAATTGCAGCGGATTGTTTCGCGTGTGCTGTCAGAGGTGGCAGTCTACAAACAGCACGAGAGGCTCTGGCATCTAAAGAGTGGAAATATGATGGAGTAGAGGCAGACTGAGGATGAGGAGAAAATAACAATAAAACGCATTATTGGGTGGCGCTCCTGTAACTGCTTCTCCTGTGAGGAAACCAGGACGGTCTGGGTGGTGGTTGCTCAGTGAGAAGGGGCACAATTGCACTTGCTTACACCCTCGTACACACACTCCCATCGACTAGTTCTCCCCCTTCCCTTTTATTTTATTTTTGTGTGATATGCCTTCATGTGTGTGCGTGTTCACCAGACCCCTTCCCCCGATGCAATGATACCCATTTGTTTCTGTATGCATGCACGCATTTCTATTTCTCTCTTTTTTTGTGTTTCTGCTTCTGTGTCTGTGTGTGTGCCTGTGTGTCACTCTTACAGTTTGAGGATAATGAACTGTAAGAGAAATCGAGGCAACTATTACGTTGGCTGCCAGTAAGGCCGAATAACGAATACATTGTTTTATGGTAATCACTTCAGGAGGGGAGAATAAGCAGCCGAGAGAGACAAAAAGAGGAAGTTAACGGACGGGAGGAAAGTGAATTGCATCCTCCTTACTCTTCTGTGCATAGGCCCCATCTTCGCGGAAAAACATTCGGTTGTTACTATTTTTTGTTGTTTGGACTTACTGACAATAACGAGCGAAGGGCCAAAAGGAGGGGATGGGAGCCTGCGTGACAAAACACCTCGTCTTTTTTTTTTTTCTTTTCCGTTTTGGGTGGTGGTATCTGCTGAAACATAAATACATCTATAGTTGTATATATTTTATTGGCCGATATGGATACCCTTTCATATGTATGCGAGGAACGATGTGCTAACGCTGTGCGCTTCGAGGTGCCGCTTATCTCTGTTAAGGCAAATGCGTTTGGTGATGAGAGGCCGGCGCTGATGTCGTCTCATCGCAGACTTCTCTGCATGAACGTGAAGCAATCTAACCGGCTTCGAGTGCTTTACAGCGGAGGAAGCTATGCCGAGGCGGATTTGCGCGCGCCGGTGCTTCGTCACTTGGTCTCTTCAGAGGGCCATCTTGACTACTGCGCTTTCTTCGCTGTTGGTGGGGAGGACGTGTCGCGTCTGAAGCCTGTGAATTGTGCAAACGGGGAGAGTAAAATTATTTTGCAAGAGGTGAATCTACAGGAGGAGCTCTACGGCGTCGCGGTAGGCAGTGGCGAAACCGCCTATGCGTTAGGCAAGATGCATATTTTTGAAGTGGACATGGAGACTGCCACCAAAAAGGCGACGCTGGATCTTGCATCAAGGACGCTTGTGAGATACCCCGTGATTGGCTACCACCACGAGGCAAAGCTGTTACTCGCCCCTGCGAAGCAAAACTGTCTTGATCTCATCTCCATCAATACCCGCAAAAGTATTCTGTCGAAGGCATGGGAACCCCATGGGGGCTCTGTCCCTACAGCTGCCTTTTTTATACAGCGTCGTGATTTTGGGAATGAGTCCGCCGGGAATGTTTTTATTGTCACAGCCACCTGTGGCAACACAGAACTTCGCCTTTGGTGCTACAACATGACGAAGCAGACATTTTCACTTATGCAGGATCTTTGCATTTCTGTTGCAAATGATGCTGAAACGACGGGAACCAAGAAAGAAGAAGAATCCTTTCTAATCAGTTGTACGCCAACAGAGGAATATATTACGTTGTGCTCCAAGCGTCATTCGCTTGCAGTTGTAGTAGAATTGCATCGAAACAACTTTAAGGTGGATCGTATCACATCATGGAAATTACAGGGTCCTACACTTGCCAGCGTGGCGATGGTGGGGAAAGTTGCGGAGTCGGCTCTCAGTGGCTCTGTGGCGTACCAGTTGATTCTTGGAATTCGTACCGCGAGTGGCTTCTTTAAAGAGGTGTTGGACGTAGAAAAGCTTGTTGGTGCCTCTAACACGACCATAGTAACAGAGAATTCTGTTGCCAAGTGGTTTCCGCAGCATGAGATGGAAAGTAAAGATATAGCAGCGAACCTTCCCACTGCGTTAACGGCCGTGTCTTCCTCTGTTTTAGGTGACAGGAAGACGAATGCGGTTTCTCAGGCTATGGCGTCGAGAATAGTGCGTCGGCAGGCGTCTCAGTTCTGTGACAAATTGCGCAGCATCGACGAAAGTGTGGTCGATTTGCAGAAACGAGCTTCAGAGGCGCTGCGACTCTTTCAGGAATCACGTGCAAGAGAAGAGGCGCAAACAATTGGTCGCAAGTTTGCCGTACGCAATAAAGGAAGACTGGAGTTGCAACAGCAGCAACAAGAACAGTCTCTCGCGACTAATTCCCCCGAAGTTCTCACTACGTCCCAACAGGAATTGTTGCAGCAAATTCACGCCATCTTGGACGAGGTGGATCCTGGTGCAGCGGAGTCCGCAGAGGAAACCGTGAAGGTACTACTTAACCAACGTCTGAAAGATGCTGTGGCAAAGGGTGCGAAGGAGGCGGAGCAAACTGACCTTGGGATTTTGACCCCGAATATTCGCTCTACTGATAGCATGCGTGTGTTTAGTAACGGTGTTGATTCCGCCATGCGGGTTCTTATTCGTGCCGTCAAGGACCACCATGCATTGATGCAGGCGCCCCTTAGAGGCTCTACCACCGCCGCTACAGAATGCATTACCAAAGCCAGAGAATTTGGAGCCTCTCTTAAACATGAGATGAAGAAGCTCTCAGAGGAGCTTAACGAAACGAAAAATGCCGTATTTCAACTGAGTGTTGTGGCGATGCCAGTGGACCCAGACGTTTTCGTATCAAAAGCTGTGTCTGCAGCTGAGGCAAATGACTGGGGCACTGCCTTTAACATTGCTTTGGCAGCATCTGATATCACCGTGTTGTTGGGTTTTCTGCAAAGCGAGGTCTGCACGGAAAACATATCTACAATCACTCGACCGCAAGCCATCCCGTTGACTACTTTCCTGAGTCTGTGTCTGCAGTTGTCCTTTGAGATAAATTTACAGCCGGAGCTTATTCCGTTGCGAATTCAACTTATGGATTTCTTCTATGTGGAGTGGGATGATACATTGAAAGAGATCAAGCAGAAGGCTATGGAGGTCCCTAGTGAGAGAAACTCCCTATTTGAGGTTTCAAAACAAGAGCTTGTACGTGTTTTGGAGCCGTTAGGTAGTGTAGATGACAGCAAGATCGACCGCCGTAGCCGCAATAATCTTCGTCTGTTGAAGAAATTGATCCGTTCCTTTCTTGAATAGCCGCGAGTGGGTCAAAATTGAATGGGAAGCGAAAAATAAAGTATAAAAAGAAAAGAAAGCGACATGAGGAAGGGAGATGACACGAAAAGGATGAGGCAAAAAAGGAAGAGGAACAGGTGAGAGTGGTTGTGTGTGTATGTGAAGGAGAAGGAAAAGAAAGCAAAATGGGGGGAAGGAACGAGGATCGCCTCTCCGTCGAAGTTTGTGTAATTCGAGCTTGGCGTGGAGTCTTTGTTGTTTGCCTTGGTCTGTTTTAGTTTCCTCTTTAGTTTGCTTTTAGCTTTCGGCTTTCTTTTTCCTTCATCACTTTCTGCGGGAAAGCTACATGAGGAGGAGGAAGAAGGGGAGCGGGTTTGCAGAGGGCGGAACTGTACATTGAGGAAATGGAGTTTACGTCATGTAAGCCAACATCGAAATAATTTTTTTGTTTGTTTGCTAAGAGAGAGAGAGAGAGAGAAATGTAATGAAATATAGATATTATTATTGTTTTTTTGGTATCACGGTTTTGTTGCTAGGGCAGAAAGACGACAACGCTGCGCGTAGGAAAGCGGCCGACGTCAGAGGAGCCGTAGTTGCATGCCTTCCCTGTCATTGCTGCAATGGATGTTGCCGCCCACTCGCCACGCCGTGATGCTGCTGCGCGGCGAAGGATGACGAAAGGTGGAATGGGGGCAGTAGAGAAAAGAAACGGAGGTGGAATTGTGTGGAGGGTAGGGGAGGGTATGCCTTTTGCAGGAATTAAGGAGGGAAATCGAGAGAGAGAGAGAGAGAGAGAGAGAGAAAGCATTTATTTGTGTGTGAGTGATGAGAGAGGAAGATGATATACAGAATAAATAATAATATTTAAGAGTATTAGACAGCCGCGTGCCATTATTTCTGAAGCATTTTGCACAGGTTGTTTTTGTGCGGTTTCTCTTTGTAGGTGGAAGTGGTGTCTCTGCCTCCTTGACTGCTTATCTTTAGTCTATATTTTGACAGCGTGCTGCTAGCAAAGGGAATGAGCGCAGAGCATTCGACGCCGGAGACATTCCAAAGTGCGGTGCTGCAGAGTCCTACCGGCGTGTTGGTCGCATACGCCGACACGTACTTTGGCAAGCGTCTGTTTCTTCAGCTTCATCAGGAAAACCATTCCCGCAAGGCGGGAAAAGGCTACAAACTGTTCGCGTGCACCTGGGAAAAGGATGGGGTGCAGGCGTTAGTCCATGAGAGAGATGCTGAAACCCACAGGAGGGGGGCGGAATCGAATGGAACTGCAGCCACTTTGAATAACTCTCCTGGTGACGCAAAGGGTTCAACGAGCGGAATGACAACGGCCCAGTTGTCATCATCGCCTGTGTATGATCAGGACATCACCCCAGTACGTGTTTTCTGGCGGGGCGACGCGAGTGCAATGCGTCATGCGATTCTTCAAGTGGATCACATCGTGATGGAGATGCGCCAGGCACAGGATGTGTTTGACATGATGCATGTGCTTAACTCAAAGGAGCTGCTGAAGCGAAAACGTGTCATTGTTATTTCCTCATTGTTGACATGGTACGCGACACCACCGATCCAGATGGATTTCATGGATGGGAAGGACGGGAAAAACGATACCAAAAATGGAGGCAATTTTGAAGAGGAAGAGGAGGAAGTGGAAGAAGAACCTGAAGAAGAGCCGCAACCGCTTGATCAACGCGAAGTGGACGCCATTCTTGGGCAGTTTCACTTTCTTGGAGGAGGTGAGGAGGACGACAACAATAATGACGACAATGAGAATGAGCAAGAACTTACCATGGAACTCTTAACGGAAGATCAATACAACCGTCGTATTCCACACGCCAAGTACTACAATTGGCGTGAGGCGGAACGTATTGTGGCTAGTGGGAACTCCGATGAACAAAATATTCAGACCTGCGTTGTTTTTGCAGGTCTGCAGTATGGGGAAGGTGAAGATGTCCTTGAACCCTTTTTTGCGCAGGTGTGGAATCGTGAAAAGAAAGGACTTCCTATTTACGGTGACGGCACACAGATTGTGCCAACGGTGCACGTACGTGATCTTGTGACCTTTACGCGTCGATTGATTGAGGCAGAGTATCCACCTGCCCTTCCGTATGTATTTGCAACAGACTCCGGAACGGTGTCATGGCAACGCATGGTACGCGCTATGAATCATGCGTTTGGTGGTGAAAAGACGTTTCATGTGCCACCCGAAGATTATGTCCTTTACGACAATGTTGAACTGTTCACGCTCAATATGCGTGTGGATAACCAGACGATGCGAGATTTGATGCCAGATGATGAAGATTGGGTGGCGCAGTCTGGTTTTGTTGCCAACATAGCTAAAACCGCCTCTGAGTACGTTGCTGCTCACAATTTGCAGCCCATTCGCATCGTCCTGCTTGGTAAACCGCTTTCAGGAAAGACATACCTGGCAGAAGCGTTAGCGAAGCGGCACTACAACTTGCCTACATTTACAATGGAACGGGTGCTGGAGGAGTATAAAGCTTACATTGCAGCCTTGAAAGAAAGGCTGGGGACTTTCCGGCGCCGTCTCTACGAATTGGAGAAGAAGAGGCGAGAGGATGCAAAGAAGCGGGTCTTTTTGCGGCACCATACGAAGCCAGATGACGAGGAACGAAACGAGGAGGACCAGGCAGTGGAAGAAACAGGAGAAGCAAATATAGGAGTTCAGCGAGAGAATGGTGTCGACAACACCGTCGAGGCGGATGGGGTGTCAGACGGCAAGAAACGACTACACGGTGCAGTTGGTGTCAATGAGGATAGTGACATGGAGGAACATCCAGTGGACTTTGCCTTGACTGAGGAAGAGCACCATGCCGTGGAAGAACTTGTAGAGGAGTGGTTTCAGCAAAATGATCGTGCCACACAACTACGCGAGGTTATAGCGTCGATGGAACGAGTGCTCGCAATGAAGGTGAGAGTTCAACCGTCAGCGAACGCTGACGCGCAGAACGCTACGAATCCCAAAAAAAAGAAGGAACAGGCAAAGTTCAAACGTGGTAACCGTTCAGGAAGCAGAAAAAATGCTACGGAAGATGATGATGTATCAACAGAGCTGCAAGAAAATGCGCCGTTTCAGGACAAGACACTTGCAGTGATGATGCGATGGCGTCTCTCACGTGCGGATTGCCGTAATCAAGGTTATGTGATGGATGGCTTCCCAGAGACTTTGGCGCAAGCACGTCTTGTATTTGGTGAAGAACCACTTGAGATTCCAGAGACTATTGAAGAAGCTGTTGCTGCGTTCACCCCAAATTCCACTACCAACTTTTCAGGACCGGGAACCCGTGAGGCGAATGTCACCCCGCTCACCAAAGAGGCGTGCAACGAAGCACGGTTGCCATCCTTCGTTTTTGTGCTTGACGCCAGTGAAAATTATCTGCTTGACCGTTTAACAGCGCTTTCAAAGGCGCTGAATGAGCCACCTGGAAGCGAGGAAAAACGTCTAGCACGCTTTGAAGAGGCAATGACGCTGTACCGAAAGCAGTTTGTCGACACCGATTACTCCCTCCCAGATTTTTTTGAGTGTGCCTACACAGTGGCGAAGACGCTTACGCCTGGTGGCCGCGGTGTAACAGTGTCGTTTTTAAATGTTGAAGCGGAACCGTTACTGTCGCCGCCCCCACCAGAGTCTCAATACGCTGTCGCGCGGCCTAGCAACGTGGAACAGATCGTCTGTGAACGGGTTGGAAAGCCGCACAACTTTGGACCTACACCACATCAAAGGTACCAAGAGGAGGTGCGGCAACGCAATCTTCAGGAGGAGGAGCGGCAAGAAGAACTTAAGGCGAGTATGGAGCAGCGCGAACGTGAAAAGCAGGAATACATACATGAAAGCGAAGAGCGCTCGCAAATAGAAAATACACGTCAGGAAATTGAGGTGATGGATCGAAACTCATTAGAGCAGCGAAAGCTTCCTTTGCGGGAGTACCTGCAGCACAACATTGTGCCACTGCTAAGTAAGGGCCTTGTGGAGGTCTGCAAGACACGCCCGAAGGATCCCGTGGACTTCCTCGCAGAGTGGCTGATGCGCCATAATCCACTCGATGATTCTTGCTTCGAGTTGTAGTGGGGTTGATCATTTGATGTTGTATAATTCTTATTGTGATCCCACAATCTGAATTTATGCCCGGATGTATGATAGCTGTTTTGCCTTTCACGCCTTTTTTTAAAATTAGTTTTCTCTGCGCTCTGTCCATTTCCTTTTTTTTTTTTTTGGCTGGGCACCTGCGTGCCTCACGCGGCTTGCACCAGAAACACGGGAGAGAAGCTGTGAAGGGTGGGCGAGTGTGTTTTGGGGTTGACGTGAGTTTTGTTGTTTTTGGCTGGCGGGTCTTGCCGTCACCATGATACGATAAAAACAAGATGTCAAAAGTGTGTTTGTCTGTTCGCTGGAACCCCCCCCTTTTTTTTTTTTTGCGCGGCGCTTCTCGCCATGGGCTCATCAACTTCACGGATCAATTGTCCTCGTTGTTGTCCTCATTGTGGAGAGTAGCCGAAAGTCCAGGCAAATAAAGAGGGAAGCGGCAACTGTCGTGTAATATACACCCACAGATACACACATCTTTGTTGTTGTTTTTTACATCCTTAATGTATGACGACTTGGGCTCCTCCATCGATGACGAGGGTGGGGTTTCTCTTCCCAGCGAAACAATGAAGTCCTCGACACGCAAAAGCATGAGTTCCCTTTTTGCACAGGATGCGATGCAGTCAAAGCAGGGTGTCACCTCTCTGCGATATGGGAATCAAAGTAGAGAAAACAAGGCCGTTTCGCTCTCTGCCATGAGGGGGAATAGTGCGCCCGGTTACCCACCCAATGCTCCATCTCCCTTGCAGACCGCTGTACAGGCGGTGACACTTGCGTATAGGGGTGAAACCTCTGTGGGGGCATGTGTGGTCGCTGTCTGTGTGCCGCACGCAAATGCCCCGATTGCCACCCCACTTATTGCTATTGTCGACCGCGAAAAACGTCCACAATGCCGTGTTACGGTCGATAGAAACTTGCAATTTATCCAGAATGGATCTTCACCGCAGTATGCCTTTTTGTATGACCCCAGCTTGGGCTCTCACTGGACTTTGATGTTTAAGGGACGCCGCGAATGCACAGAGTTTTCCTCTGCTCTTTACACCACTCTCCACTATATGGAGATGAGTATTGGCACTGTACCACCCTTTGTTGAGTGGAGTAATGAAACGAAAGTAGAAGGAGGAGAACCTCAATTGGAAGCTTCTCGTGGTGGTGTCGTCGCAATCTCTTATATGGCATGGCTGCTTCGTAGGGTGCCTGGTACCAGTTTTTTTTCGCTTGGCAAAATGGTTGAGGATGTCTCTCCATTAGCCCCATGTGAGGTGGTGGTTGGTGGTGGTAATCTGATGGCAGGAATTGAAGAAGCTCTTATTGGCATGCAAAAGGGCACCTCACGATTAGTGTTTGTGCCCCCGAAGAAGACAGATGTGAGGATGGGCATGGGCAATCCGGAGGTATCTCCAACTGACACTGTCGTGGTGCACCTCACCTGCCACGATGTCATGACTCGTTTTGGTATGAACCATGGCAGCAAACCGATAATGGTTACCCCTACAGAGAACATTCCTCCTGACAGTGGCACTCAGGCAACATCAACAACCTCAGTTACACAAGTGGAAGCTTCATCGACGCGGGTAGCGAATGCTCCCGTGGCTGTAGCAGGTGACATCAGTACAGTTTTGCAGGCTATTCTTCTACAGATGCAGCAGCAGCAGCAGCAGCAGCAAAAAAACGCCGGTAGTACCAACAACAGTACGGGTTGTGGTTTTGGGAACGACGTCAGTGGGCCCTGGAGCCTTGTGGAGCGCAGCATTGACCGCATTTACATGCAACTATCCTCTCTTTACGAGAAGGTTGATCGTTTTCCCATCGCAGACATCATCAATAAGAACAACGCCGCGATTGAACAAATCATGAAGAGGGTAGTGGGAAAAGCCCCTACGGATGGTATGGACGTGGAGGACATGCCAAAGGATCGGGATGAGCTATTGGCCACTATTGAGCGCCTTAAGAGGCGTCTTGAAGAGGAAACAAGCAATTACCATCGGGCCCTTGAGGCGATGGGACGTCACAAGGATGAGGTACACCATTTGCAGAATGATCTGCGCATTGAGCAAGAAACACATGCATCGCGTGTTAGGCATCTAGAGGAGCATCACCGCTTGAAGTTTGTGGAGGTGGAGGTGCGGCACCGGCAGGCCCTCGAACAGGCTGCCAAAGAGAAGTTACTTGAGGGCCGCGAAATGGGCTTTAAGGAGGGCCTGCAGTTGGGCAAACTGGAGGCAACTGACGCATCTGGGGGTCACAGCAATCGCGAGTGGAGAGACCGCCTTTTTGCCAGCGAGCAACGCGTTGTAGAGTTGGAGACTGAAATGCAGGAACAAGCATCACAGCACATCTCTGAGCGAAGCCGGCTGCAGGAGCAGATTGACACCTTGCATGAATTGACGGCGAAGTTAGATATGCGCGCGCAACACGCAGGAGTGGCTTTTCAGCATGGGGCTGATGAGACTTTACGTCAATGCAAACGCCTGCGCCGTGCTATGAATGCGGCATACGCAAAAATTGAGATTCAACTCTTTGGACTGGATCAAGAGAAAGTGGAGGTAAAGGATGTACTGCAGATGGTGATGGTTGCGCTTAGGTCCGAAGCTGACGCGTTTATCGATGAAATAAAAAAGGAGGCTGCACTCTGGGTTGGGGTGGGTTCCCACAGTGAGACACCAATAGAAATAACGACCTCTGCAGTGAAGAGTGAGGAAACCTTCCCAGATCAGGTGACACCGACGGAAACAGAAGCAGCGAAAGAGGAGGACGATGCCGCTTTGCTTGATCGCAAACAAGACCCCTCGATGAATACAAGGCAGGCTGAGAACAAATCTGTACAGCTGGACGGGTTGCCACCTGTGCCGCTACCTCCACTGACGCTTGGTATGGTATCGTCCACGTGTGACAATCCTCCTAATGTATTCTCAGAGAATGAGGAGCCAGCTGTTAGGGGTGATGAATCTGGCCCCAACGTTGCCAGCGAGGACGAGGAGGATAACATGAACGCCTGCAAGGGAGTTGTAGTCGCTGGTTGCTTGCCAAAGCCCGCGTCCAATATCGGCAACAAAGATTGATAATAATAAAAAAAGAATGAACCTGTGATGGTATTGTTGTTGTTGTTTTTTGCGTCTATTTGTTATTTTGGAGTGTGAGATTAGGTTTCTCACTTTCACCTCTTCTGCATGTTGCCCTATTGGATGCAGTATTTTGACTTCCAAGTACTGGAGACTATGGTATGAAAGCAAACTTAATGGCAATGAGGTTGATCTGCGTTGGGTTTATACTCATCGGCTTGTTTGTGTGTTGGCCGCTGCAGCATGCTTGCGTTATATGTTTTATGACATTTTTTTACCCCACTTTTTTTTTTGTTGTTGTGTCTTTGTGCTACTTACTCGGCTAACACACGTGGCTGCTGAAGTGGGGGTGGATGGCAGCGGGGCTTGGTTTAGGAAGGGTTCTGGTTCGTATTGTACGTGGTAACCACAACGATGGTGGGTGTCTTGACGTGGAGATGTTCGACGCCACAATGAGGCATACGGTAGGTTGTTACGCCGTCGTGGGTTCCGTAGCTGTCGCCGTTATACCATTGCTGTACGCATCGTTGCGAGTGTTGGCGGGGAGGCGAAAGGCGTTGCTCGTACGCACAGCCCATTCTCTGTCACATATTTCTGCAGATGCCAGGATTGTTAATGAGGATTCTTCCTGTTCGTCGTTTCTTTACACTTCACGGGTAGCGTTGGCCTTACAGCGTGTTCTCGATGCAGAGCGGGCTACAGATGTGGAATTTGCGAAAATATTTTCTATTGAACTCGTACATGCGTACGTGGATGTGGTGCTTCGCAGTCTTCTGCGCTCCTGTTGTCGCCACTGCATCTTCCACGTGAGTGTTTTTCTGGTATGCACTGTACTTGCATCAAGCAATGTTCGTGTCGTGGGAGATGCAGGTGACAGTGGCAGTTCAACTGTTGCCGTCGACACAGCGGTGAGTGAGTCACTGCTTTACGTGTTTCGGCAAGTGTGGTCGAAGTTGTATCATGGTGCTTTGCTGCAATGTGCAGTGGAAGAAGTATCAACTCCATATGCATTTTTCAATTTTAGTCTGTCCAGTCCTCGCATGCTTGAGCGGTGCTTTCCGTGGATTGGCGTCATTCATTACGCTGTGTCTCATTGTCTTACCCCAGGCGTTCATTTATTTGGCCGTTGGAGATCCCCCGACACGGCGGATCGTGTTTGGCGTGTAATGACTCCGAAAGGTTTTGCCGCAATGTGGTGCTGCCGTTGTTTGTCGGATGTGTTTCAACCAAAGTATTTTGAGGCAAAGATTGAGACTGCAGAGTACTCTTTACGAGGAGTTAATGAGAAGCAAACAACATGCAGAGTCCCCTATATTGAGGGCTGTAATGGAGTCGATATCGAAAGGGAGCAGAGGCATAAAAAACCTTGCACGATGCCTTTGCTGCGACCTCTGACCTTGTTTGCGCTGCGTACAGGTAGAACATCCATGCTGGTGTTTGCCGTGACATTTTATGCTTCTAGGACAAATTTATCATGGCTGCCATTTCCATGTGCTAGTGGCCCGCAGTATGTGGCTTTGTGTTATACAGAGATGATGTTGGTCTCACTTGGAGTATTGTTTTTTTTCTTCGAAAGGTCGTGGATCAATCACTATGGCAACGCTGTGAGGGCCGCGCGGCCATGCTTTAAGGTATCTGCTTATATGCAGTCACCCTCTGGGTGCACGTACTCGTCCTATATATATATATATATATATATATATATATATATATATATATATATAT